TTATTAAATGTCTCATTGTCTGTCTGTTTACCCACATCTTTGATACTGAGTAGACCAGACTGTAGTCCTGCTGGCAGATTTCCACTTGCTGCCCAGGAGATACTAAGATCACTGAATGCTAGCCGGGAACAAACTTTTACCAAAATGAAGAGCTGCAGTGAAATGTGTTCCAGACCCCTGGTTTTACGTTAAATATGCACCACGTCTATCAGAGCAGGGGGACCAAAGGGCGGGTAAGTACTTCCACCCTTTCTGTGTGTTCTAAGTTTCTTAAAAAACTGAACTGGAATGAACCGAGGTTCATCAGTTGTCACAAATGTACCATTCCAGCAGGGGATACAGATATTGCGAGAGGCTGTACATGTGTGGGGGCAGGAGGCATGCGGGAAATCTCTGTATCTTCCCATCAACGTTGTGATGCTAAAGCTCTCCTCTTAAAATAAAAAATTTAAAAAAAAAAAGGTCTTTTTAAAAAAAGCAAATCATTGGTCCAGAAATTAGGTTGTAATTTTAGTATTTGAGAAGAAACTTGATTTTAAAGGAATAATTAACAGATTCATGTAATCCTTTATTTAACCTGCTTATATAATACATATAACACCTTGAAGGTATATGGCATCTGTTTACAGGTCATTGTGAAAGAATATGAAAATAGCCAGCTTGTGAAGAAAAAGTGCAAAAAATTTTAGTACAAATTATCTTAAAGGAAACCTTATGAAAAGAATTAAATTTTGTTACTGAAGATGTTGCCAAATTAAATTTGACATTACCTACTGACCAGCCATAGCTTTAAATCCAATAAACAAGAGCTCTGTGATTAATCCACTCAATATTTCCAGTTTAAAAGCTGAGTCCTCTAAATGTTTTCAAAAGTTTTATCCTGTTGGAGTTGTGATTTTTATAATTCAAAGATGAAGCTAAAGGCAGTTTAATGCCTAATCCTAAATTCATGATTGCCGAGGGACTGCTCTTGACAAATTAGTCATAGCACACTGAAAAATTCCAGGAAAAAAAATGTTTAAATATTTTTTAAATTTTTTTAGAGAGAGGGAAAGGAAGGGAGAAAGAGAGGGAGAGAAACTTCAATGTGAGAGAGAAACATCAGTCGGTTGCCTCTAGTATGCACCCCAACCGGAGACCAAACCTGGAACCTAGGTGTGTATCCTGACCGGAATCAAACTGGCAACCCTTTGCTTTGTGGGACGATGCCCAGCTAACTGAGCCACATTGGCCAGGGCTCCAGAAAATCTTGACTGGCTACAATGTTCAGCATCTTGTGCTAGGCTGGGGTGGGCTGGGGGTAGAAGGGGCGAAATGCCAAGTGAAGATGAGCTGGCCCCCACTTTTAAGGAGTACCCAATCTAACTGGATTCCAAGACTGTGAATGGTAAATTTGAAAACACTCTTCTTTATATCTGCCAATATTAAAAATATAGCATTGAAGTGCTTAGATATTTCATTGAAAGTAATGAATGGTTTTGTATGGTTCTATAACTTCAGAGAATAATACAATAATTAATAAATAATAATATAAGAATAAACTTTTTATGTATTCACAATTGTAAACCTACCTTTGCCCCACCCCGTATAAGACCGCTCAAGTTTGTATAAAAGCACTTCTTTATCATTCTGGAGTTTAAATGAAATAGCTCATTTTTTGAAGCTAGTTACATTCATAATAATGGTATCAACTGGTCGTTTAATAAATTATGCTATATTTTTGGAGAAATATGTACATACATTTGTGGTAATAAAAATATTCATTTACTTACTATTTCTCAGTAATTATTTTTATGACTCTCTGTGCTTTGGCAAATCAACAAATTTTGGGGTTTGTAATTTTACTTAGCCTTAATGTGTACTATGTTGCACTATGTTTGAAATGATTGAACCTCTTACTTTGCTTCTATAATATAAACTATATTATAAATCAAGTGGAGAAGAAACTAATATTAAGTTCTCTGTGACATGTCCAGGGATATGTAATTTATAGATCCCATCCTGGTTTGTTTGGTCTGTGACCCTTCTGATTGACAAAATCCTAGCAACATTTTAAGTATCCCCTGGTAACTGTAGGAACAAAACTCTTTATCACACTTTAAATGTCCTAATTGATTTCTATGTCTGTGGCTTGGTTCAGAAATTAGGGGATTTAGTTTCGTTCCCCTGGCTAAATTCCTGAATTAATCCTTGTTTTTCTGCTTTCTTTGTTGTTGATGTCAAACTCCTTTTCAAGTTCTGCTTTTCTTACCATGTTTATTTGTTGGGGGCGGGGGAAGGGAGTCAGGTGAGGAGGCAATGTATGTGTACTTTATTGCCCAGCAACCTAGAAGTATAAGTTACAGTCCTTAAAGAGAAACTCAGACAAAAGATATTTCACTGGAAAAATTAAAGTAAAAACAGTAGCCACATGGAACAATATTAAGGCATGTGTTTCTAATTTTTGTTCAGCCTTATTTGATCTTTTGTGTAATAAGGCCTCTCTCTAGGATAAAAGCATCAGAGGAGGAAATCTCTTGTCTATTTTGTTCTCTGGCATGCTATAATCAGCACCTGGCACCGTACAGATGCCCAACAATGATATATTGATTAGTGGAACCAGCACATGAGTGAATGAATGAATGAGTGAATGATACATTTCACTGGCAGTTTCTGCTCTTCTATATTTTATTCATTTTAATGAACTTTTTGGTTGGTATTCTGTTAAGTAGTGAGGGAAGAACTAATACTAAAATGTGTAGTTTCTAAATGATTCTAATTCTTGATAATTAAAAATGCTACCTTGTAAACTTTTTTTCCCTGTAGAAATTTGTCTCAAATTATGAAGTTATTTATCTTTTATGGGCAAGGTGAAACATTTCTATCTCTATAGTAGAGTGACACCTGGATATCTTTACTACTCGTGGTTTAACTTAGGCATATGAAACATACTTTCATGGTTTTTTAGTTTCATGGGATATACATTTAGAGAAGTTTTGCTCAGATGTATTTCAAGAGTATATGAAACAAGCTTTGTTTTCCTCTTACAGGTTTGTGTAATGTGTCAGGATAGTTTGGGGTTACTAATAGATTTACATAATTTAGCTGAAGGTGGATTAAGAAGTTTTAAAGAAATTTTAAAATGTGTTAGTTGTTTAAACAATGCTTTTCCTCAAGAGAAGCATTACGAGAAAGAGAATAACTTATATGTATGTAAGATTTCTCCATTTTAACAATAAACACAAAATTTTAATAGTAGTTCTACTGGAACAGTGGTTCTCAAATTTTTGGTTTCAGGGACCCTTAACATTCTTAAAAATTATTAGGCTTCAGTTATGTAAGTTGTGTCTATCTATATTTACTGTGTTAGAAATGTAAATGAATACAATTTTAAAATTTTAATTTATTTAAAAATAGCAATAGACTGTCATGCTAGCCTAAATAACATTTTTATTTTAAGATTTTTCCAAAACAAGTTTTAGTGAGAAAAAAATGGTATTGTTTTACATTCTTTGCAAATCTCTCTGATGTCTGGCTTAGTAGAAAACTGTATTCTTACATCTGCTTTTGCTTAATATGTTTCAATATAGCATGTTAATGTAGCCTCTGGGGAACTCCACTGTATACTAGTGAGAGACCGTGAGTAAAAGAGGCAAATACTGTCTTGGCATTATATGAACATAGCTTTCATCTCATAGGACCCTGGAAAGCCTTGGATCACCTTCTTGGATCCAGGGCTCGTGGACCAGAAGGGTGAAGAGCAGTACGCTGGAGCCTTGCTTTTGCTTTTATATATTTCTATGTTGTATTTGAATGTTCTATAACGAGCATAATCCTTTTGTCATTTTTTAAATTTTTTATTGATTTTTAGAGAGAGGGGAAGAGAGGGAGAGAATATCAGTGTGAGAGAGAAACATCGCTTAGTTGCCCTGACCAGGAATCAAATCCACAACCTGTGGGTTTACAGCAGAGGGGACACTCCAACCAGCTGAGCCACACCGGCTAGGACCATATTGTCATTTTTAATCACTGCATGGTATTTTCTTATAAGTTTGTACCATTTTTATATATATATATATATTAGATATTTTCTACTACAATGCATAACACTTTAGTAAACATGTCTGTTCTTACATATTTGCATACATATCTGATTAGTTCCTTAGGGTGAAGACTTAGCTGTGGAATTCCTGGGTGTATGAGGCATCTACTGTTTTCCCAAAAACTTTTTAATAAAATTGTGAAATTCCTCTTCAGATAGATCATACTCATTTTTTCTCCCTTTCTCCCAACCCTAATCCATTCTTGAATTTAATTGTTAAAAAAATATTATTATTTTGGTTTTCATTACTTTGAATACGTCTGAGGTTGAGGTGAACATCTTTTCAAATGTTCTGTGCAAATTCCCTGTTCATGTACTTTGCCTGTTTTTCTGTTGGAGTGTTATCTTACTGACCAATGAATATTCAGATCAATGAAGACTCTTCATAGTCTTTGTAAAGGACATCTACTGTTTATTGTATTTAATGAAATGCTTTCTTCTCTGTGCACTTAAGAATTTTTATAAGATACTATAATTATGATATTATAATATGTAATTATCTCATAAGGATTAGAAGAACCTCTAGAGCCTAAATGGTATTAAGGCTCTGGGTTTTTTGACTTGTTGTATAGTGCCATCGGAGAGGTGAGCAAATATTCTTATGTAAGACTAATTGTCTGCGTAGTAGATGTACCATTCTCACAAAGTTACAGTTTCTTTTTTGAGTGTGTGATCTCTGACTGCTTCTCTAAGACTGAAACCAGCATTGCAGGAGCAGCTCAGCAGCAAGTCCATTGGAGGGGACAACAAAATCCACCCCCGCTGAGATTTTCCACACTGTTGCAGCTGCCTGTGTTCTCTGGAACTCGCTGTCTTTAACACAGCCTACTGTTGTTAACTGCGATCTGTGTGCTCCACCCCCATGCCCATCTACGTGAGAATTGGGCTGTCTAACTGGGTTGTCTTTCCGTTTATCCAGAGTATCCACATCTTGGAGAGAACTGCTTCCTCCGGCACCGAGCCCTCTGTCAGCCGGCAGTTGCTGGAGCCGGAGCCAGTCCCCCTCTCCAAGGTCAGTGATGGAATGTGGTGCTCTCTCAGATGGCGTGATGCCAGCCGGGGCCCGTTGAACTGGAAATAACTCTTAATGCCTTACTCCCCGAGCGTAGCTGAGGCGCCCCCTGTAGGGCTGCTCTTGCACATCTTTCTGCCTACAGTATATCTATCGGTTTCTCTGCCCCCTGCACAGAGGGAAGACATGAAAGTACATTTTGCTGAGATTTGTAGGGTTTCTTACAGGAGTCCAGCGTTCTCTTTATGAAGGAAAAAGGGCAAAAGAAACTATTGTCTTTCCCTGGTGTTGAGATAAGGAGATATTTCTGTAGCAAACTAATAGGAAAAGAAATAACCGAGTCCAGAAATAATAATAACAACAGTGACCATTCTTGCCCATGCACTGCATGCCAAGCACTGTGCTAAGTGCTGAAATATATTATCCCATTTAATATAAGCCTATGAACAGCCTTATGCAGCATAGGTATTTATTACATTTTATATATATGGAAACTGAGGATTCATAACGTGTCCAAAGTCGAATGAAGGCTGCTGAGGAGCAGAGCAGAGATTCACACTTAGACCTGTGCAAGCTGTAGCCTAGCGGAACTGCTGGGCGGTCAGAGTTCCAGGCTCCTTACCTCTGGCCTTCCTTGCAGTGAGCTGAGGAGGACACTGCAGATTATTAAGACTTTTTCTGTCTCATTTGGAAGCACAGTGTTCCCACCCCTTCAGCCCTCTCTTCCTCTAACTAGGCAAATATCTGGTTCATTTTTTGTCCAAAGTGCAAAAATCAGAACAAAAAGGCAAGGAGACATCATCCCACCCCTCCCCTCCCTTAACCCAGCTCCCTGGGATTTTCTGTGGGCTGGCTCCCCTAGTGAGAAACTCAGAAAACAGAATGCCTGGGATTTTGAAATCAAATATAAAAATAGCACTTAATTTCCAAAACAGTTTAACTTCCAAGTATGTGTAGCTGATCCATCCACTTTCCTTATCCTTTATTAAACAGAATCCTTAAAGAAAGGAACTCTCTACTGTCCCAGTGTTGTAGAATGTGTGCACTGTACCTTTTTATATTTTGCAGCTATTACAAGCTACTAGGTTTATTCTATCAGATAGGAATAGATTGCTGAACTAAGGAAAGGGGGAGCTATTAAATTGTTAAAATTTTTTAAATGATCTGATTTCTATTAGAATGGCAAGTAAAGAATGTCTACTTTGTAAATATAGCTAGTAATCTCTTCAAAACATCAGTTTTTTCTTATAGGCAGCTAAAGGAGATAGAAGAGGATAAAATATAGGGGCAACCCAAAAGGCAGCTAACGTTGATTGAACACCCACCTTGAGCCAGGTACTGGATTAGTACCTATATTTTCTCACTTGGGCAGCCTCCAAATCGATGAAGTGAGTACTGATAATGTCCTCATTTTATTGATAAGGAAACGGAGACTTGGAGCAGTCGTCCAGCATCAGATAGCCGGGACTTGTGTGACAGAGCAGAGGGGAAAGAGACCATGATAGTGAGAGATACTCAGAGAAAGAAGACTTGGAGAATGATACACAGAAACAGAAAGGAGAGGTGCTGGTATTAAAACAACAATCAGGGGGCAGTAGCACACAAGCTTTGCTCTAGCCCCGCCCCTCCCGCCAGCTGCACCTCTAGCTTCTTTGGCACCTCACTCGATAACCCAGCTACGTCTGCCTGCGCACAGGTCCCTCACCGGCCAGGCGCCTTCCTCACAGCCGGGTGTCTCTCTACTCCTTCTCCCGGGCCCTCCTGGAACGCTCCCTGCTCCCCTCCCCTTCCTTGACCCAGCGAAAACTCCAACTCTTCTTTCAAGATAGGCTCATAGGATCTCTTTTTCAAATGCCGATCCCCTCCCTACCAATCCACCCTCAGCCTCAGCCCACCTGGGGTAGCCTGTGCTGTACAGTTAACACATTCATTTCTTTCTTTCACATTCCTTCGCATTCTTTCTGACGTCAGGTTCTCCAGAAGGACGTCCTGACACTGTACTGAAGGTGCTTGTGATTTGCTGAGAGAGGGCGCTCCGGGGATCAGGGTGAAGGGGAGGTCAGGGGAGGTCTGGGCAGGTGCGGTGCTAAACAAGAAGGGCTTTCCGCTGAAGTCCACGGGCAGTCTGATCCATGGGGAGCTCTGAGGCCTGAATTGTACCACAGAGTTGGTCGCACCCTGAGGCAAAGAGGACTTTTTGTTCCCTTGGCCCTTTGTACCCTGCGTCCTTCAGTCACTGAGAGCCATGGGGGAGGGAGACGCTGCAGCATAATTGCCCAGGCGGGAGGCCCCAGCTTGGTGAGAACAGCAGTTCCCTGTGCTCACAGCAGCTGGGGCCTGGGTCCCCTGGCCCGATCCAGGATCTGGGTGGGACACCAACGGCATCCACTTCCATTACTCCTCTACGCTCTGGTCCGCTTGGATGTTGCTGTAGGACTAATACTCTTGTGTTTTTGTGTTATTAGATACCACATTTTGGGGGGTTCCCATGAAATCAGAGGGTCCCATCCAATCCAGATACCATAGTATATACCATAGTGCATTTTATAGCACACACGCTAACCTTGAAGATAGGGGAGATGTGTTCTCCCTCCTCAGCCAACCTCTTTGAGAGAAGAATGGCTTCCTGGGCACCGGTTGGTGGTGCAAGAACATTGTTTGAAGTACACATTGTCCTGTCTCAGGATTTGTTCAGATGCTTTGGTACTTTCACCTCCTAAAGCACTTTCCCATACACCCGCCCACCCACACACACATGCGCGCACAAAGACTATACCCTTGAGAAAGGAAATGTCTCTATTTTTTTCATATGAACAGACTAGGATTTTTATTAGGTTACTTCCTGTGTTTGGTTATTATTTTGAGATCAAAAATAGTACTAAAACCTCTATTCAGCAAAAAGTGTCTATATGTCTGACTAGAGTCAAGTACTAACGTGATCACACTATAGCTTTTGGCTCTGTTTCTATTATAAGTAAACCTGTGAACACTGAAGACTTTTAAGCAGAAAATCAATATCAATTGAAATTATGAAAAAAGTTCTTCAATTTTCAGAGAGTAATTTTAGCTTTCTTCAGATACTCCTGGTCTATCTTAAAGATGGATTGTGCTAAATACTGAGCTGGGAAGTTTCATTTCTTATACACCATGTTTGTATCATTATCATCTGAATTTATAATTGAAATAGGGAATGTTGTTTGCTCTGGCTTTATCTTTTCCTCTTTGTCAGTTTGACAGCTTACAGAGCTGTAGGAACTATACTAGGATTCTTCCTGATTTCTTTTTTCTAAGTTTAGCAATTCTGCATCAGAGCAAATGAAATTACTTGTTCGGAGATGCATCATTTATAATTAAATACATTTTAACTTTTCGCCTTTTCTGTCTTACCCCTTTTTTTTGTTTCTTCAGTTAAACTCCCAAAGAAGAAAAAAATATGGCAAGCTGTTATTGCAGTCTGAGTTTAATTAGAAAAATTTCAAAACACATTTGTACTTATTAAATGTTTCCATTTTCACAAGTAACTCAGAATATTCATCATATACACACAGAGGGAATGAATCAAAGATGAACACTAGCCTTAAAATAAGCTAAGATCTAGCCAATAATGAAAATGCTATTCCTTTAGAGATGCTATCCATAGCTGGGGCTACCGAAAATAGAACTCCCATTAAGTACAGCTGATATCTCTCTAAAAACAGAGGGAACTCTAATGAATATATTTACACATTTATGGAGAGTTAGTCTTTTAGTTTCTTGATTATACCAAATTTTTAAAAAGAAGTCCATCATTTTTATGGAATCAAAATCCATAATTTTTATTTACTTTTTCAGTGAGCGTAGAAAGCCAAAGATAGTGTACTTAGTATAAAACCTACTGTTTTCTTCTATTATTTTAATATTCATAAACTGTATTCACTCGTTGAATTGCAACACACTATTAAAAAATAAGAATGCGAAAGCACACCCCTTTGTATTCTAGATGATAGTGCGACCTACCCATGTATTGTCCAAAAAACATGGCCAACATCCTGAAATTGCCTCATCAGAAACATTTTTAAATTACTTTATTTAATTAACAGCTTTGAACAGATCTATCACAGTTTCCGACAGTATGATCAAGTAGAATTACTTTTGGGGGGGTTGTTTTCTTATATAAGGGGAAATTTACAGATCCTTTCTTCTCATTGTTAAGAAATACAGTTTTAGTAATGTATAATTTTACAGATTTTTTAATGGTTCTTAGTGTTGCCAAATAAAAACCAGTAGATATGTTTCTGCAAGGTATGTAGTTCATTCACTTGGTATCCCTCAGATCACAAAGAAGATGGAAAAATGACCTTAGTCTCAGGTGAATCTTCCTGGGGATTTGGAGAGAGAGAGTGTGTTGTGGGGTTGAGCTTAGGTAAGACAGATGCATGGTGCTGGCTTTAGAGGGCTTTTCAGAAGGCAGGAGTGTCTCATAGCCTTCATGAAGCAATGTTCAGCCACATCTTCTGGAAATAACTTTCTGTGAAAATTCTACCCTATTTACATGTATTTGAACTTGCACATAGATTTGATATGGCCACAGAACAAGCAGTTTATGGGATGAAAAAGGAAGAAAGGGAAAAGAGGCATGGATAGTAAATACATAGACCTTTCCCTTCCAGTCCCCATGGCTGACATCAGTAACCAATTGTGGCACCTTTGTCTCTGGGCCTCATCAGAGCCCTCAGCGGGCCTGACTACCTGGACATTTAAGTCAGCAAGTCTATCTGCCCTGGATTTGGAACCCCTTGGCCGTTCCTGTTGAAACCTCTGTTCTGTGATCTATGGATGACTTCTGATAGAACGTACCTTTTCAGAGGCACCTTCCCCATAGGGCGTTGTGCAGAGGGGCCTAACCCAATAGATACCTGGAGCTGCATCCAGCTGTGGGAAGCTGAGGCAGCAGAGCAGGCTACGCTGAGGGTCTTTGTTTCCCTGCACTGTGGGCAGGACTATAGCAGTTGTGCACGGGATGCAAAAATAACCCAAAAAGTGATTTTATAAATGGCCTCTAAATTATTACCACATTTGGAGTTATTGATGATAGCCATTGTGACAGGTGTGAGGTGATATCTCATTGTTGGCGAGGATGTGGAGAATATGGAACCCTCATGCACTGTTGTTGGAAATGCAGATTGGTGTAGCCTCTGTGTAAAACAGTGTGGAAGTTCCTCAAAAATTAAAAATGGAACTGCATTTTGACCCAGCAGTTCCACTTCTGGGTATATATCTGAAGAAACCCAGAACACTAATTTGGGAAAAATACATGCACCCCTATGCCCATCACAGCATTATTTACAATAGCCAAAATTTGGAAGCAACCCAAGGGCCCATCAATAGACAAGTGGATAAAAAAGTGGTGGTACAAATACACAGTGGAATATTACCCAGCCATTTAAAAAAAAGAATAAAACCTTACCACTTGTGACAGTATGGATGGACCTAGAAAGTATTATACTAAATGAAATAACTCAGACAGAGAAAGACAAATACCATATGATTTCTCTTATATATGGAATCTAAAGAACATAATAAATGAACAAACAAAATTGAAACAGACTCATAGACACAGAGAACAGACTGACGGTTGCCAGGGAGGGGTGGTTTGGGGGACTGGGTGAAAAAAGTAAAGGGATTATGAGGTACAAATTGTTAATGCCCAAGCCAAGGACAGGAACAACCATGTGGGAATCAACTTGGGGAGGGGAGAGGGTGAAGCTGGGTAGAGGTAGGGAAAGGGAGAAAAAATGGGAACAACTGTAACATCCTAAACAATAAAATTTTTTTTTAAAGCACAAATTGGTAGTTTCAAAATATTCCCAGGGATATAAAATACAGCTTAGGGGATACAGTTAAGAAATTGTAATAACTATGTATGGTGCCAGATGGGCACTGGAAATATCGGGGGAAATATTTTGTAAAGTCTGTGATTGTTTAACCACTATGCGGTATACCTGAAACTAATACAAAATAATATTGGATGTAAAAAAGGAATCTTTTTTAGAAATACACTGCACATGATTACTGTAACCCTAAAATTTTTCCTCAAATTAAATTTTTATGAAGATTATCAAACAAGAACTATTTATTTACCAAAAAAGTGAAATTACAGAATGATTGCTGAAAAAAAATTAGTCCAGATGCACGAGGTCTCAAATAGGAGTGCCAGGCCCTCGAGCTGGGCCCTTGGAAATCACCGGGCCCTGAGGGGTTAAAACCCAGGAGGAGGCTGAGGGCAGGCAGCTACCACGGCACCCTTGGCACCCTTCTCTCCGCCGGTACCTCCAGGTCTTACAGGCTTTCCCAAAACACTGGAAACTTGGACTTTCAGAGTCTGAAATCTTCTGATTTTTAAGTGTTGACAACTCATTAAAACATTGTGAACACCATAGATGAACAAAACATATCTTCTAGAAGAGGAAACCGTGATTTAGTCCATTTTTTTTTTTTATCAGAGGAGGATGACAGCATCAGCGCCAGCAGCCCAGATGTCTGGCTCACAGTCGTGCTTTTTCCACGGGCTTCCAAGGGTGGGTGTGTGTCTCAGGAGGAGTGTCCTCAAAAGCATGGACTTCTTGGTGTGTGTGGCCAGCAGGAGGTTTTTTGTGCACTGTGAAATGCACGCAGCCTTGCTGAGGAGAGACAGAGGCCCACCGCGCTGCGTTTCGATTTAATAGGCTATGAGGCACTTAGACCGCTGCAAGCCTTTCCATTTCTACACAGAAAGCGAGGTCCACAAACTAATTGAACATTCGCCATCAAAACAGTCTCATTTCAGTCTTTAAAGTGCCTCTGTGCCCACAGATTAACTGTGTGGAAAAATGGATTTTAAACCTCTGAGTGCAGGCACTTGAAATTTCCTTCTGCCCCAACTTCCAACTCCATCTCGTGTCTGACGGGCCTGCAGACCTCCAGGTCTACCTGGGAGTTTTAACTTCAGTTACAAGTGCTTAGCTGAGTCTGATGTTAGAATTTGCTTCAGAATGTCCTTACTTCTGTTGGGTCCAGTGCCGCTTCGAAAGCAACTTCTGCTTAAGAATCTGTTTTAAGTATGTCATCAAGCACCGAGAAAGTGACTTGTTTTTTTTTCTTCTTTTTTCCTCAGGAAGCTGACAGTTGGGAAATTATAGAAGGGCTGAAAATAGGCCAAACCAATGTCCAGAGACCAGACAAACATGAAGGCTTTATGCTAAAAAAAAGAAAATGGCCTTTAAAAGGCTGGCACAAGGTAACATTTTCATCATATTCATCTTCAGATCATCTTTGTAAATAGAGGATCTTTTATAGTATCATTAGGTGGAAAGCCAAGAGCACAATTGTACGTGGGGAACTAATTTTCAAGGCCTTATTTTAATTATTTAAGCTGCATTCAATCTATTACATCTGTTTAAATCAGATCTATAATATCTGTATGCAGGGGGGAAACATTTTTAAAATATTTTAAAATAAATTATTTTTATATTTAAAGTCTAGTTTGTACATATTGTTGTCTACTCTGGTTTTTTACTTTAATTAATATGAATATGTTCTTATTAAATATTCTTCCAAATATGAAATTTTAAAAAATCTGTGCGTGTATTGCACTGGATAGATTTACTGAACGAATTACCCACCATTAATGAACCAATTCCCTATTGCTGGATATGTAGGATATGTCTAATTTTTTACTGTCATGATGTTGTGGTGAACATCCATGTACATGCATTTCTATTTAATTCATTGGGATAAATTCCTAGAATTATTGTTATCAGTTCAAACTAAAAGTGGAAATTCACTGACCTTAGAAGTTTGGTTATTACTCTATAAACTACATGGTCTAGTCTTCTCTTGCCTACCCCACATGCTTTTTGTTTTGTTTTGTTTTTTCCTACCACACATGCTTTTTCCATCTTCCAGTTTTAATTATGGAGAAAATATTTTGCACTTCACTGTTGCAGTGGCCCAAATAGCAAGAATTCTGTGATGCTGAGGAAGAAGTTGTCCTCCATTTTCAGGGTCAGCCCATTGAGAGACCACCAGCACCTGCTCTGAAGTGACCCAGCGCACAGGTTCATCTACCTGCGCCATCTGCCAATGGATTTCATCTCATTGGCAGACAGACTTATTGGCCCAAGTGGCTGAGTGGTGGCTGCCCAATGGCCCGCAGCAGGGAGGTTATGGATAATAACGTCCTTGAGGAAATGTACTTTTTGCACTTTAAGGGAAAGACTTAAAAAATTAACTGATGGGAATGTTGCGCAATCCTGTCTCTGAAGGTGGACTATAACCATGTCCAAGAGGCTTTCAACTCCGTTTCGTTCTTATTTGCCAGAAACCATGACAGGCTCCCATGAACCCCTGTTGTTATCCCAGCGCCAGGAACCTCTCCAGCCTTGCTCTTCCTTAGATTTTGGCCCACTGGCCTTACCTTCCCAGAATCACTTTTTGCCTTTCGTCTGACCATACCACTTTGCAATTTCTTGAGTCAATGGCCTTGCTCACCTCTTTCCTTGTGACCATCCTATAGGTTATCCCTGCTAAAATTCTTTAATAGATAGAAATGGAAAAATTGAAAAAAAGAGTCAAAACAAATTTGATTTGAATTATAAACTTTAGTGCTTTCAGTACATGTTTCAGCAAAACTGGCTGTGGTTCAGCAGCAACTCTTTCTGGGCTATGGGTTAGAACATTTTTCTACATAAATAGTAGGAGGTTCTCCCTTGTGTTACCTTTTCTCCTGGTCTCTAGTGCCATCAGATATCTATTCAAGAATCAGCACATTTGATTGAGCAAGGTATGGGAATTGAGTAATCAAGTGGTTTTCAGCTGTACAGATTCTTTCTTCTAGTGCTTGCTTGTTGCCCCCCAGAACTTATAACAAAAGGGGTCTCAGTGGCCTGCTGTGAGTTCTGTGCGGGGTGTTCTCAGGCCTGACTCCTTGCTACCTCAGCAGCTAAGAGTTCCTGCAGCCCCCAAAAACTTCCCAGCAGAGTAATTTTCCAGCAACAGAAAGACTCCTGCATCTGTAGAGACTAGAGGAAGGCACCGGACCCATTGGTTGGGTCCTGGGAGCTATTTGTTCTTTGGTCAATTGCCCATGGAAAGGAAATCAACAGAAGAGAGTTCCTGAGTGTTTGTGGAGGAAAAAGGGCTCCATATTTTTTAACTGGACCAGGAGTGTCCTGAAGAAGACACAAGTTGCCCTCAATCAACCTCTCTCTACCCCCAGCTTTCATTGTAAACTCTGCATGTAGTTCAGAAATAATTTCCTATCTCTTTTACTAATAGTAAAATGAAGGAATTTTGCTCAATGGAAATGCAAGCCTATTGCTAAGGCTATTTTTTAAACTTTCCACATCATTCATTACTTATAGATGCAGTCCACTGGCTCCTTAACAGACATGAGCATTTTCAGGAATTATCCATGGTACCCAGGGAAATACAGTTTACCTCCAGGGTGAAAACTCCCCAAGCTCTTCACAAAGTCTCTGTGACCCAATTCAGGCTAATCTTATTCCTCACTCTCAAAAAAAAAAAAAAAAATCCCAGTGTGATTCATTCAGAACGTCTTAGGTGCAGGTCCTGAGATTCACCGCCACCACCACCCCCGCCCCGCAACGACCCCTGTTAAGAAAAACCATGGTGAAAAGATTTCATCTCCATTGGATTATGTGTAGAAGAACCCAAGTGGGTTAATAGTACAGAACTCAAGCTCAGATTTTGTGACCACTAAATGTGTCCACCAGTGACCAGGTGCACTGAGTCCAAAAGCATTAAAGTGATATATATGTATTGATTACTGAATGCCAAGTGACATTAACCCACACTCGTGAATGTTTTATATAATTCAGAATACTGTAACTGGGGGTTGTTTGGTTCTTGCAGCGTTTTTTTGTCCTGGATAATGGAATGTTAAAGTATTCAAAGGCACCACTTGATGTAAGTAGCACACAAGGCATGTTTCAAAGATTGATATAGAGTTTTGCTTGAAGTGAGTACACAGCGCAGCTGCACAGGCCTTGTGCCATAGTTACCAGCTTTGCTCATTTCTGTGCCTGCAATATTTAACAAGCTACCAAACTTCCATGCTGCATGGAAGGTATGTTTTATGCTTCAGCTCAAGCTAGCTTAACATCTCACAGTAGTGCATGAAGATTTAACTGTTGCGATGTCTATTGTTCAAAACAAACTTAAACCTAAAAGTGATACACTAATAAAAATCACCTTTTCTATCTTGGAGAGAAAACCCAAATAGGTTTTTTTCTGCATCTCAACATAATATGCTTTATGTGCTTTTTTTGAGATTTAAAGCAACCTTTGTTCTTGTTGATGTCCTTTTAACATCTATCTTAGGAACTTTGTTTTCATTTCATGTCATATTTCATATCCTATATCCTTTTATCTTGGGAATCCCAACTCACTAAAATTATTCCAGTTTTTCCTTTAATGTAAAAAGTAGTTGTTTGCATGCCCTCATTGTCATTGTGGTATTGGGGAAATAGCAGATTTCGGTTTTGTTCTCATCTCTTCCATTGCATCAGCTTATCAGACGAGGGCAGCCAGAAGGGCCAGCTGGTCCCAGCTGCCCAGTTCTGCCCCGGCAGCTGTCTTCTAGATGATTACTTGGGGATGTTCTGGGTTGTAGGTCAAAGATTGACCACAGTTATTTTAGAAACCATTAAAGTTATCTTTTTGGGCATACAAACTATGCAGTCTAGAACTATGAAAAAGTGACATTATATAATATGCCAAAAACAGGAGTAAGAGATGAACAGTCTCATTGAAAATGGTGTGAGGTCACGGCAACTTCAGCTGTCCTCAGAGTGCGGACTTTAAGCTCAGAACCTTCCTCCTTTTACCTTTGTAAGGAGGTGTCATGTTCCCTTTCCCATAGATAACGAAAGATTACATTAAGCTCACTTCAGCACAGAAACACATACAATCATATATCCCTCCAGCCTATTTACTAGCCTCTTGATTTCAGATTCAAAAAGGGAAGGTGCACGGAAGCATCGATGTCGGCCTCTCGGTCATGTCCATTAAAAAGAAAGCTCGGAGAATAGACCTTGACACAGAAGAGCACATCTATCATTTGAAGGTAAAGTTGCTTGTCAGCAGTTTTTCTGACATTATCAAGCGCTTGCCTACATCAGTGGTAAACAGAATATTGGTTTCACCATTACCTCCTCTTGTTTATTGTTTTAGGTGAAATCCCAGGACTGGTTTGACGCATGGGTCTCCAAACTGCGCCATCATCGACTGTATCGGCAGAATGAGATTGTGAGATCACCAAGAGATGCTAGTTTTCACATATTTCCTTCAACTTCTACAGCTGAATCCTCACCAGCTGCTAATGTTTCCGTTGTGGATGGAAAGGTAGGTCTTTGTTATATACAAATCAGCCCAGACATTGTTTGGAAAATTATGCAGACATATAATGAGTCTCATTTGACCAACAGAAGGAGAAAGTTTTCTTGCTAAACTAACCCTCAGAAGACAATAGTGACAGTTAGCATCAAAGTTAATCACCAGTATGGATTCGGTGGCTATGCAGATCACGAAAAGAACTAACAGTTGCTTTTCCTTTCTATGAATGGACTGCATCCTAATTTTTATATGAGTTTTGAAGAATACTGGGAAGTAGAATGAACATTTGGTTAAATGGCACCTAGAAATCAATGTCTTCTTGGGTGGTAATAAGAAGACTACAGTTTTGAAAATGAAACATGCTTTTTTGCCTTAAGATGTAGTATACACAGGATCCCCAGAGAGACCAGTGGCTTTCCCCATGAAGCTAATACAAGTGGGCTAGAGAATGTGCCAGAAACAGAAGCAGTAGGCCATTTGGGTAGCCCACTAGTCAGGCCTGTGTTAAGCACTTGGCCTTTATTCATCTGTAATCTTTAGTATAGGTAACCCTGAAAGACAATAAAGAATTTTTCCAGATGTTACATAGCCATTAAACAGCTGAGCTATGATCTCAAACCTCATCTCTCTTTTTCCAAAATCAGTGCCCTTTCCCTTATACAGTACTGGCTACCAGATTAAGGGAGGCTGAAGTTCTTAGGACTATATTAAGAGTTCATTTTCTATGTTGCTGAAAAACTAGAGGTGTTGCCTATTAAAAATCAAGGTTAAGACCACAGGCAGGGAGACAGCTGTTTCTGCCTTTGATTTAATAATTAAGTTTTCTGAACCAAAGCCACATTTCCCTGCCCTGGAGTGTTCCAGCTTCCCACTTCGCACCTGATGTTGAGAACAGAGACATCTGTGAGTAACTGGCTGCCACAAGGAGTTGGATTCAAGAGTGTTTCAGTGAAAATTCCCCATTTCTCTATTTTTTATATAAGGATATATGTCTTTTACATATAAAAGTTTTACTTGCAAAGCACTGAAAAGCCTTATGGAGTAATTGCAAGACTAATCAAATCCGATTAAATGAAATACTACCATATTCAGTTTTTGCTATTTCAATGGATATTACTCAAGTAATTTCTGTTAAATCCCATTTGTTGTATTTCATAAAGCTCTCAAACCTTTTTGGTGTAGCCTTGCCAAAGACTGTTTAATCAGTCCTAGGGAACGTGTATTGTGTTAACCTTAATGCTAACGAACCAGGAGATCAGAAGGTTAGGAAAGAAGGCACTTACTGAGTGACCCAGCACAAGATGCTCAAGATAGTCCCCAGTTCTCTGGGGCCCCCTGCTTTCCTCCTGCCTTCTCACCACAGAATAGAAGAAATGCTGCATTAGTCCAAATTAAATAAGAAATGTATGCCAGGTAGATATTTTAAAAATACAAATTTTTAAACCTTTGACCACTCCAGCTTCTGCCTGCACCTTTGGCACAGAGTATTGATAAAAGTTACATTATTTTCATCCCTTTTGTTACTTATTAAATAACTTGGGCAATATCTGGAACAGAGAGCTAAAAGCAGGTGCTCCGCACTGTTTGCCTTGGAATAAGAAAGCTCTTCAATTCTGATTTTCATAGAGAATCTATTGCTCTAGTTACGAGTGACATATCCCAAGATCTAACTCAGTGAAAAATTCCAAGTACATTTATCAAAATGCAATAAAGTCTGAGGAGAGCTTTTTACCACTCTGCCTGCATTTTAAGTGTCACATTATGGAACTCCTGAATGGTAATTGGTCTGTGGCCCTGTGCGGGTAAGGGATAATCCTGGCTTTGCTAAGTGTGTGCCTCTTGCACTTAATACTGATTTAGAAGTGACACAACCAGTTGTGATTGAATATTAAAGTCAAATACGGAAAAGTTGTTTGAGCTTTTTGGGAAAATAAATTTCTGCTTTCTTTTCCTGTGCATTTCCTGTATTCACATTCGTATCTATATAGTTCATACAACTTTATTTTCCATAAAATGTCTTCAGTGGAAAGTCTGTCAGCTTTAAATAATAACTTGCTAAGACTGCCTTTTTACAAACTCTGATTTTCAATATGCATTCAAAGCATGGGCAAGGTTACTTGCTGGTGGATAATATACAGTATTTAGGCATCGCAGGTGCCTACCGGGACCTTGAGATGACCGTGAGGGCACAGAGTGGAGTCCACAGTAAGGACAGTGTATCAACTACAACTTACTGAGTAATTTAAACTTATTGGGAATTTGAGTTGGCAGGTCCTCGTGAGTATGAGATAGAGCATACTCGAATGTTTTCCCCTTCATTGTAGAATGGAGACAGCAGCTTAATGAAAGCGCTGTTAGTGTTTATGAAGTTCGGCTTCATTGAGCACGCACATTTAGCCAAGAGGCTTCTTCCATATTTTGCCTGTGCCTTTTCTTTCTTTCTTTTTTAATGTTGCTTTAAGAATACTTGTCACTTACAGTGGCAAGTATTTCTGAGTCACTTAAATATGCCATTTCTGCTTACCTGCATTTCTTTGTGTTTACCGCAGGTACAGCCCAACAGCTGTCCGTGGCAGTCCCCGTTACCAAGCAGCAGCAGCCTCCCCGCCACCTGCACAACTGGCCAGAGGAAAGTGGCCGCCTGGTTACAGGACTCAGAGGAAATGGACAGGTGTGCAGAAGGTTAGTTCTTGCCCAGCGTGGGCCGTCAGTATAAGCCAAGAAACAGAAACAAGGGAGGTGAATTGTGGGCGCTGCACCTTTCTCCTCCCCAGCCTCCTTGATTGCCTCGACCTTTATTTTCCTCTTTCTATACACCAGATTCTTCTCCTTCCCATGACTCAGGCCTCTTATCTGTCAGTTCTGCACCCTCACAACTAGGGAATCTGGTTTCGTCCTTACCCTGATGTCCACCTGCTTCAGCCTTCTCACCCCACCTCCTCACCAGTTCCCTCTGGCTTCCTGAGCCTCCCCTCCACACCCCCCACCCCGTCCCCCGCCCGAGAGGAGCGCTGCTCAGGAGCAGCCCCCGCCCTAGCTCCTTGACTCCGCCCCCCCCGCTCCATCTCGCCTGTCCTTTGCACTACATCACTTCCAGGAAACGGCAAAACTGTATTGTATTTTATAGCCACAGTTACCAGTTAGAGATGCTCCCCCGTGGATCAGTTGTTAAATATTCTGAACTAACACATGGTTCCCTCGCACTGCCATCTCTAAGCCTCTTTGTCTTCAGAAACTTTATCCTTCCTGTAATGAGCCAGAGCACGTGGGTCCAAACTGGATCCACAGACCATTTCCATTCTACAAGACAGTGTTCGTTTGACCTTCAAAAATGAGAAAAACAAGGATCACATAGAAAATATGTAATAAGACTAAATTGATTTAGTTTTTGAAATTATTTAGAGATGACATTGGGTACAACTTCTTTGATACTAATTTTTCTCTTATAAAATTATGGTGAAAGTAGATGTTCGATTATTTTTTTATGTCCTCACTTAGGAAAATTGAAACTTGGAAATCTGTGTTGGTCTTCCAATCAAAAAAAAAAGTTGTTTTCTTTTTTTGCTGTATACGTGTGTGAACTCAACGTCTCCTGCATTGTTATTAGCCCTCTGAATATCAAAAATTTAATATTTATATGAGAGTATGGTTTTGAGAGGGATGTTACATTCATAAAGCATGTTCAGCTGACACTTCATTAAAAGACTTTTGCTTGAACATGTTCACAAAACACACAGGCATCCCTCTGACATCACTAGCTTCGGCTTGGGGCAAGAAGCCACGTCTCACTTCCCTAGGATCCTGCAGGGTCTCCTCAGCAGCAGCTCTGGACATTCCAGCCTCTCCTCCAATTTCGAAAGGCTCACGTAAGCTTGTGGCATTTAACCTGACCACCTACATTGCTGAAAAGATTGAGACCGTCCCCTGGGACAAAGTCTGTTCTTCTGACCAAAACGCACAGACATTGGCCTTGATGCCAAGAAGCCCGTGACTGGTAGGGGGATACACTCGTCTCCCTGTGTGCTGCTTCGCAACACGCCGCAGCGCCCCTGCGCCCTGTCTCCAGCCTCGGGGTGAGCCTCCTTCTCCCCGTCCCGACTGCTCTCCCTGCATCCTCCATCCCGCAATCCTGTTCTCCTTCAGGATTGTGCAGTAATTCCTACCTCCTCTCTAGGGAACAGCCTTCGTTTTCCCATACCACTCATGTCAGCTCGCTGCCCATGGACTCTGTGTTCTCTCCCCTAATTTAACTTTTGTCGTTTTTGCTTTATGGAGGAAGTGTTCTTGGCAGCAGGAGGCCCTCTGATTTCTGTTGGGTTCTCGGGCCTCATCCTCCGACCTGCCCTGCAGGACCTTCTCTAATGAGCCTCCTCCCTGTGGCCTCATGAAATTCTTTTTCTCCCACTGCTCCTCCCCTGCTTCACTGGGCTTCTGCTCTGGCCAGCCTTAGTTGTGGGGACAGTGAAGGTTCAGCGGTCTGCTTTCTATGTCAGTAAGAGTAACTGCATTCGGCTGGGTGCTTATCATGGGCCCGGGACTGAGCTAAGCACTTGGCATATAAGGGTGGGTAAAAGTTAGTTTGCAGTTGTGAGTATGCAAAACAGAGTTTATTCTTGTATTATTATTAATTAATTTATTTATTAATGATCGCATTGTTTACAATTATTACTAGCCTGCTTTGCCCACCCCTCTATGTGGTTTCTGTCAATTTTCAGTTAGTAGCCAAGTGAGGATTATTATACACAGGGAATCCAAAGCTCAGAGAGGTCGAGTAACTGGTCCATGTTACACACCAAGGGCTTGGAAGAGCTGGCAGGCGAACCCAGACCAGCTTGATTCCGATAAGTATGCTCTGTGCTTTGGAGATGACAGGTGTGCTCATAACTTCGGCTGTAATCTCTATTTTGATGTTGATGATAGTGGTGGCGGCGGCAATGGTGGTAGTGGCAGTCGCTAATAGTTATTGGGCACTTCCTCTGCGACAGACACTATTCTAGGAGTTTTAGATGCATTGACTCACTAATCCTCTCGACTCCAGTATACCCATGGGAACACGGAGGCACAGGCAAGTTAGCTCACTCCTCACACCAAGTTCACACAGCCAGTAACAGTGGAGGTGGGAGTCAGCCGCGGGCAGCCTGGCTCCGGAGTGCATGCCCTTCGTCACGACACCCTAGTCTTCTCAAAAGGGCTGAAAATCTTTAAGTCTAGACCTCCGTATCAGCCACTGCTGTATTCCCAGGGACCCCCTTGCGGTTGGCCCTTCCTGTCTGCATGCTCTGTCTCGCCTCGTCTTCTCAGCCCGTCTGAAACCAGACTCTGTCTCTGCCCTAAAAATGGTCCCAATTCCTGAACTATCCTGTTTCTGTCCGTGCTGCCACCATAACCACCCCTGAAACCTTAGTGTCATATCTGACCCTCCCACCCATTCATCCAGCAGAGACTGAGTTCTGTTATTTCTTTGAAAACATCCCCCTTTCCTGCCCCTTCATCTGCACTTCCTCTCTAATTCCGTTTCTGCTTTCCTAACTCAGGCCCACGTTCGCCCAGTCTCTGGGCGGTCACACAGCCCCCTGACTGGTACTCTTGCCCTCAGTCTCTTGTTCTTCTGCTCCATCTCTGTCAGAGACTCATGGGAAATGACTGTTCTTAAACAAGTTTGCAGCTCTGTGCAGCGCTTAGCAGGCATTATTCCACCGCCCTCAGCCAGGAGACGTAGGTATTGCTAACATCCCCATTTTGCAGATGATGCAAGTGAAATGCACAGAAGTTAAGGAGTTCACCCAAGACACACAGCTGCCGTGGTGGAGGGGTCGGGACTCCAGCCAACCCATGTTTGTCTAAGCCCAAAGCCAGTTCTGCGTCCACTGCATAATGTTCCCTCATGACTGATGTTCCTTAAAACAGCTTTTATGCAAAACTCCCTTCAACTGGTCCTCCATGGACTCTAGGGCTTCAGCCCCAACTACATAGCCCCGCATTTAATATTCATCCCTCAGTTTTCTGATCCTGCGTACGCTTTCAGTGCTGGCCCAGCTAAACTTATTTGCTGTTGGAACATACCCGCATAGTCCCGCATCTGTGCCTTTGCGTAGGTTGTTCTTCCCAACCTGCGGTGTCCCCTTGGCGCTTCTCCACTTTTGTGTTTTGGTGAATTCTTTGTGTTGATCCTCCATGCATTTCTTAAAATCTTAAAAGATTCTCCTCTCTTTTGAGTCTGCTCTGATGACTTCAAAACCCAGTAACCCTCCTTGTCCTAAACCACCATCGCACTTTCTTTTTGGTCTGTACTGATCATTTCACAGAATCCCCAACACTGAGGCTGGTTGCATTTCAGAAGTGTATCGTGTAAGATCTTCTCCAACCTATAACACATTTGATCTATAGTTGTAATACTTAGAGTGACAAGCTCTTCGAAAATGTGGACTTAAAACAGTCCAGATCTTGCCACGTATGTACAGGAGTTGCTTGGCTCTTAACATTATTTTCCATAGAAACAAATGTCACATTAATACTCTATATACCATCTTTACATACCAGTATATGCCTTTGTTAAAGATAGGTATGTAATAGTCCAACATACAGATTGTTTATGTGTACATTTTTTTTTAACCACAATGTGAAATCCATGAATCTGCTTGACTACCATGTTTCCTGGGCTTAGAACTTTGTTGGATATGCAGTGTCTCCCCCGTCAATGGTACCAAAATAAAATAATAAAGGAGTAACTTTGGATATACCATAATTTAACCATTCCACAGTTTTCTGACTTGTTTTTTTTCTAGAACAAGGAAGAGCATGATGAGAAAATAAACTGCTAGAGATTTAAGTTTTTAATTTTTCACTGTTACAATCTTAGTAGTCCTTTCTTGGCATAATTTTTACTTTTTCCCAGATTCTAAGTTTAGATTTAATCTCAATTTAATGAAATTCTAGAGATTTTTTTTTTAAAGGCATTTTTTTTTGTCTTGGGCAAATCTTTATACTCTTAATATACAGCCAGACACTTAAGCAAGCAGTGAAATACTGCCAAGGATTCTATTTCTTCTATATTTTAAATGATAGACATGCTCAGGGGTGGTGCAGCTTATTCTAAGTTAAGGTCCTAGCAGTATGATTAAACTTAGTGTGATCGATGCTCCTTAAAGATCATTTCTGGTTTTCATAGAGTTTTCTCATCTACCACCTCTGTTGCTACTGTAAGTCAGGAAAGCAGGAAAAGTAAATATTACTATCACCACTCAACAGGTGAGGAAACTGAAACCAAAAATTGTGAAGTAAATCAATGTCTCCTGATGCAACTGACTTGTGACTCCCAAAGTTTTAAATCCTTTGCCTTAATTGAGTTCATTACAAAGTTCTCTTTCCATTCTGTTAGAAAGGGTTTTAAGCCCAAGTCTAGAGTTCTGTGCTACCTACACACACCATTTGTGTAGAGTAATCACAATTATAAAGAAGTATGAATGCAAAACTTACTGGCTGGAAGGCTCAATACAGGCAATGTTAGAGAGTCTCCCCTCTGGCACCTTGCCAATGATGTGATATTGTTATTTAAAAGGCAAGTTAAAGTGTAGGTCCCTTGTAGCCATCTCTTTCTCCTCCCCCCTCAACCTCTTCCTTCTTTCTTCACACTACATTTCTCTCTCATTTCTTCCCTTGCATCATCTGTACTTCTTACCCTTCAGAGCCACTTTGTTTGTTCCCTTTGTTTTCTACAACGGGAAAAAGAAGGGGCATACAAGGGTGCTGCCTCCCCTGCAATGGGGCAGGGGTGGGGCAGTCGAAGGGAACTGGCCTCCCGGTATTCTCTCCCTCCCACCTCCATTGGACCGCTCCCTCTCTGAAGGAATTTAAAGCCACTGATGGCCAAGGATTCCCTGGAGGGACAACAGCAGATCTTGAACAGCCCACCTGGGCTTCATCCTCAGGCAGATGCTGCTAAGAGGAGGGACTGAGGCGTGGCCTGGCCCCCAATAAATTGCTCTCCAGGAAGAGGATTCTCAGTCCTCTATAAAGATTCTCATAGTACTTATCTCTCTATTTTATTTTACAGTCACAAAACAAAAAGTCCACTAAGCACAACTATTTGACCCAGCTAATCTTTAGCTATATTTAGCAGCAATATTTTGCTGCCTATACCATATTTGTAACAATTTAGATCTTTGAGATTGAATGAGAAACCAAGATAATAGATGTGAAATTTTCACCGACTTCCACAAAAATAAGAACAACCACTTTATAATTTTTTAGATTTAAAATTTTTTCAGTTGCATCTCTTCATAAAGAGTGCACATGCAAAAGTCATCATGTAACTGGGAATGATGTTCTAAATGTTTACTAATTGAGCAAATACTAATAACTCAATATCCTTGACTGTATTTAACTTCACATACTGAAAGTTGATTTTTTGTGATATTATAATATACAGATTGTTAAAAAAAATTTTGTTTAAATGTACCAAATTAAAAATAAAATTAAAAATCATTAATTTTTTCATCCTAAACAATTCAAACAGAATGAATTTCACACCCAAGTGATGCTGATCTTGCAGGGTGGAGGAACACACTTTGAGAATCTTTGGTTTTGTTTAGTATGACATCTCTTATAGATAGTAAAGAAATCATGCATTGCCTCATTGTTAGTGTGCTAAATTATAGACAAATATATTCACCTGACTCTGTATTCGACCTTAATTTTCTGAACATGACTGACTCTACCCAAATTCCAAGTAGCCACCTTGTAAACTATTTTAGGAACTGGTAGACAGGTTTTTAATGGTAAATCCATGCAATTGCTGAAGTTCCCTTGAGTGGGCTTTTATGTGACAAGGGCCACCTGAGCAGGAAAGTGAGCACACACAATTTGACTGAGATTTTAATGGCTCCCTACACTAATGGCTGTTAATTTGCAAGAGTGCACTTTGAAGTCATCATATGATAATGCGTGGTTTAATGGTTCTAAACCAGAGAAGGGTCTGGTTTTTTTTATTTGCCAGTATCACCAGTATATATAAACATGTGTCCGCCTAATCCTATTTGCCATCATTTGGATTGGCTCCCTTTTATTACCACCACCACCACCCCCTGCCCAGCTCTAACATAATTCTATTTCTGATTTTATTAGACCTTGCACACTGCCAGTCAAACCTTGTGGAACTTAGCAAACTCCTGCAAAACTTGGAAATACTTCAGAGAACTCAGTCAGCACCTAACTTTACTGACATGCAGGTAAACACATTACTGCTGCTGGTAAAAGGACCTTAAGATATTAACTCAGAATTTTTACTGGATTGTGCTATGAATATTTAAGGTAATATTTAAAGGGAAATAACTACAATACAGATTAGTTTCTATTCTGGAATCATTCTTAATATTTTTAAATCTTGGTGCCGTTGCGTTAAGACATATAATTTGAAATGTTTTACATTTAAATACCAACTAGAAGAAATAAAAATCTGAATCAATCTTCCATGTTTGTGTTGCGTTAGAAATAATAGCTTTGAAGATGTAACTTAGATGCTCTCAGAATTATTACCGTCTTTTCATGTGGGGAAAAAATGCTAAAGATCTCTAATCCTGTTTTCATTTTGTATGGCAGAAAAATATATTTTATGGTTAAGTTCTTGTCTTTGCTTTTAATGCCCACTATGCATCAGATAATGCCTTTCGCTCCTGGCTGGTTTGCTTTAGGTATCTAACAACGAGTCCCGACTAACTTGCTATGCTCTCTTTGTCTGTGCCTGTGTTGTCTGTGTGAACTTAATACTTTGTTGCTTTTAACTATTTGTGTAATGTAGGCTAACTGTGTAGATATTTCAAAGAAAGACAAGCGGGTCACAAGAAGATGGAGAACAAAAAGTGTCAGCAAAGATACAAAAATACAACTGCAGGTACAGACTTTTTCCTTCATTCTTATTTTTGCATACTTTTATAGTCTTTATGTATCAGTTCATGGAAGTGAAAAAGTTTACAGCAGCTTAACTGCTTGAAAGCCAGTGCTTTTCGGACTGAGTTACATTATCAAAAATAGAGAGAAATCTATTCTTTTTACTCTGATTGAAATAAAATGAATTTTAAATAAAGGTAAAAATTATTTAATATGGCTGCAAAGTGGCATTTTCATTCTCAGTTATGGCCTTAGAACCATTAAAATAGATTTTAACAAAAAATCACCTTAAAAACCTCAGCTAAAGATCCATTGGGTTGTAATGAACACTCATTTTTATATACTAGGTTTTAAAAGAGCAAACTTTGTCCAGAGTTTCATCTGTCAATAAAAGAGTAAGCACTGCAATAGATTGGAAATCAACAAACCTAAGATCTAGCCTAATCACTGTGATTTCCTGGCAGTATCATTTCATGTATTTCTCTGAAATTTCCTGGGTTTCTATTTACTCCTGGCTAAAGTAAAGGAATTAACTTAATGATCTTTGAATTACTTTTCAACTCTAAAATTTCATGATTCTACAAAAATAGATATTATTTGGCCATTAACAATCACTTAAAATCTGAACTGAAGTCTTAATGGCTCATAATAAATTTACTGAAATTTATTTTCAATAAGTTATTTATTTGAAATGAGTAATCTAAAACTTTTCAATAAGATCCTATTTTGTTACTTTATTGCAATGATACTAAGTATGGTAAATGCCTAAAACCTTTTATGTCATAAATCATATTATTTTTAGATCTTTCAACTAGAATTTGTATTTCTCCAATCCTAGCTATGTATTATAAAAGACTCTTGTCCTGCACAATCAAAATTAGACTTATGACTTTGCTTTTCTTTTTATTGTACTATGAATCAATTTATATTCTAATACAATGGTAATGCTTTTCAGAATTCTTCAATGTCTTCTGAATAACAATAATTCTTTAATTCTGACTGTACTGATAATATATTTTTGTGTAGTAATTCTGAATGTGTAAATAACAAACTTTTTGCTGCTTTGCTTGCTTATCTGATGTATTTGAAAATAAGTTTTCATAAGCATTAAAAATCCATGGTTTATTTAGGACTTTCATATTCTGTGAACACAGTTTCTTCTGTTTCTTTGTTCAGTATGTTTTTGCATGTTTTCCTCTGTATTCAGAAAATTAGTGCTGTAGAGACAAATGTCCAAATGACTTTATAAGGAAATTACCTAAAATTGCCTTTGGCAGTTTCATTTGTTTTGAGTATGTGATTGTCTAGTTTTATGGCTGTTTTTTTTTTTAAAGCATGATATCTATGGTTATTATAGCCAGGAGAAAGAACCATTATTTAAAAAAAAAAATCATTGGAAAAGGCTAGCATTATATGAACATATATATACACTTGCGATTAGATATTATTTCAATCTTGTTTTATAAGGTTTGCCATTGAGCAGATTCTCATTCACAGCTGTTGTCTTGAATAGATTAGTTCAGGGACCCTGAGTGCAATGCCCCAGGCCATCCACTGTGGCCCCGAGGCCACCATAGTCCCCACGTCGCTCAGTTTTTCTGAAGGAAATAAAGTGCACCTCTGAATAGCCCATGTAGTCAAGGCTGTGCTTTTTCAATGTGTGGAAAGTTTATGAAGATTGTTTTTCTGAGACATCAGAAGAAATGATTCAAAAAGCCAGAAAATACTCTTCATTCATACTCGTGCAACATTTTTGGATGGCTTGTTTTTAAGTTTTTATTTACGCCGCTTTGCTTTGTTTATGTTTTGCCAAAAGAGTAACAAAATGGTCTTTGTGATTCTGGTTTAATTTTATGTTTGAGGGAAGTTGAAATCAGCTCATACCCTCACTCAAAGGGAAACTTTAAACTTTCAAAAGTAAGAGATTTAGTTGTACCTCCAAGTGGAAATAGACAGACTTGGGGGGAGCACTAAGCTATGAATCATTCCAAGAAAAACCCTGGTTCCACATGGACTGGCTGGTAAAACAAAAGGCGTGCGAGTGGGGGGTGCTGCAGGATGTGGCACCGCCCCGGACCTTTTCCGCTCACCCACACCAGGGGGCCTTCCAGGATCCCTGAGGCTGGGGAACCGTACAATCGGCCATAAATAACTATAACCAATATAAATGCCACTACTCCTCAGTATTTTACTGACAGGTAAAATTCCTGTTTTAAGTGTTTCCTGACCATGGGAATTCCATCTGATGGTACCAAGTGCTTGTTCCGAGCCCACAATCATCTCACTCCTTGAACCCCTTTCTCTGATGGTCCTTGTTGCAGCCAGCTTGAGAGGCTTTGTAGTGAGTGGCTCATTTTTCATCTTCACTATAGTTTGTCACTTCCAGTATATCAGTCATTTGTGAATGAACCTAGACTATCTGGTGATGGTGTTAGTGGTTATTGTTACTGCTGCTGCTGTTTTTGGTGCTTTCACTGAATTGTGCATTCAGCCTTCTGTAGAAGTTTTTATTTTAAAATAATTATAAAACAGATTGTTTAGAAAGTTGACCCCAAGAAGGTGAAAATGAGCATGTTGTACTGGATGTTTGATTGCTTACTCTTGCATAGGTTAGATTGTGCTATTGATTTGAACGGGAAGGTTATGGCCATGTCGCCACTAGAAGCTATCGGGAAGCCATTGGGAAGCCATTGTGTAGCCATTGTGCAATTCATTGAAGGCATTTGCCCTAGAAGGCTCTGTGGGGATTATCTTTTAGAAAAAGGACTTACTGTCTTCCAAACTTCAAATTTTGTGGTTCTAATAAAAATCTCAATATGGTCATTGTACAGTAACAGTTGGGCTATATTATAAATGCAGTAGAGGAAGACAAGACCAGAATAATTTTTGGAAGGGTTCCTGTAGAAGAGAAGGCTGCTAATTTCCTGTGTTGTTGATAGCATGAATTAAATACTAGATCCCTAGTTGTTGGAGAGAATGAGGAAGAGCAGGAAGTATGGAGTAGCCAATAAATGACCTGGTGTTTATTCATATGTGTCTGTCCTAGATCTCACAAATTCCCAAATTACAGTATAGGCTCAAAATACGTTCTTCTTTTTTACTACATTAAATATACATGAGGAATTTTGTATAGAAAAATTTTTTGGTGGAAAGCAGGTGATGTGTGTATGTGTCTATATAATAAGCATATCATACACATATGCAGAAAATTTAAGGAACTGGAAGAGAAATGTGATTGCAATTTGGCAAATAGAAAGAGAATTAGAGATATAAGAATTTAAAATATTTTTCTGTTGTTCCAAAAAGATTAAAGCAGTCTTGCTACTTTTTCTCCCTCTGGACTGTTTGGTGACTCTTAAATACATCTCAGTTCATTGGAATTGAAATTATTGCTCACAGCCTTGAAGAGTCAGGATCTGTCAAATGGAGGCAGAGTTGCCTGGGTAGAAGGAATTGTCATTATTCTTTAATCCTGTCCACCAAGAAGAGAAAAGAAAGAAAGAAAGCTCAGCAATTCTTCTACTGGTTTATGCATGGATGCACCTCACTGAACAAAACCTATGCTTTCAGTTTTCATAGTTGATTTTTGTAGGCATTTTTTTCTTACACTATGGGGATCCTCTTGGAAAATTCTTCAACCTGAAAATACCAACACCATTCCTAATGTTGAACCCCAGAGAGCTTCATAGAAAGGAAGGAAATGGGAAGTTGAAGATTCCTGCTACCCCTCTCCCTTACTTTATCCTCCCATCAAGAAACACAAAAATTCTGCCTGGCCGTCAGGAAGCTCCCATTACAACCTGTTCATTTTAATGTTTGCACATTATTTATTGCTTTTTTCCTGAACGTACTTTTTATTTGCTTCCCCTTACTGAGTGTCTTTTGACTTCATACAACATGACATCGCATGAATAAAGCAGTGTGTAAATGTATTTTACCTTGAAATCCCAAGCTATTCATCAATTCATACCTTCCCATCCCCTTTTGGGGTGGGGGTTTTGTTGAGCAAATAGACATGTGTGTGTGGGCATTCCGCCGTGAGAAGGATGAACCTGTCTCACTGCCTGAATGCCCCTTAGCACTCTTTACAATGCTAAGATTTAGGAAAAGTCAACCTCGGTTAAAAACTCTCCCTCTCCTTTGTCTGATTATCTCTCGTCCTCCCATATCCTGCCCTCTCTCTGCCTCATCCCGTGTTTTTCTCCTCCCCCCCTTCTCTCATTCACTGTCAGGAAGGGCCATCTGTGAAGGGCCAGTTCAGCGCAGCCCGGCGCCGGCAGAGGCTAGCAGCAGCAGTGGCTACAACAGTGAGTGGATTTCAATCTCAAGCGGACGTTTAATAACAATGAGAAGCTGTGTACGAGTGTCAGCCCCCTGTTTCAATGGTGCCACTTGCGTGTGACAGTGTCCACTGTGGCCCACTCCTGGGTTGGCATAGCTTTCGCATGTTTTCTGGCTGCCTTTGCATGGCAGGAGTTGACATGGATATTGGTGTTCGCAATGGAAATCTATTACATAATCCAATTCTCTACTGTGAGTGTAAGAAATAATTTCAATTCAAGGTTGCAAAACTGAGCACAGCTCCTTGTGGTGTGGGCATTTCCTGAAATAATGTTGTTTTTTTGTTCGTGGTTTTGTTTTGTTTTGGTTTGGTTTGGTTTTTGGTTGTTTACAATAGTGATACTGGAATCTTTGCTAACTGATTTCTGTTTTTCTAAGAAAAGTCATGTTACTACAGACATAAATTGTGCTTTTTTTTGTAGCAATGTGACTATTTGAACAGGATGTGAGAATAAAGAAATAAGAGGGTAAGAAAAGGTGAATTTTGATGTCATCTCTAAATGGCTACCCAAGTTACACTTAGCAAGAGAAAAATGTTTTCTGGAGTGCATATTGAGCTGAAAGTCAGAAAATATAATGTGGAAAGCAGAAAAGCCACAAAATTAAATGCTATTTAATCCAATCTAGAGGTTTTTGGGGGGTTTTCTTTTAAAGAAAACAGAATGGACGTTAGGAGCACAGAGGAATTATTGAGGTAGATAAGGCAAATAACAAATTTAAAATTGAGTAGGTGTTTAGAATAGTGAACTGTCCACATGAAACATAAAATAGAACATGTAAATACAGGAAGCCTGTGCTTGATAAAAGGAAACCATAATGTTTGTTTAATCATGACATCCCATCAATTTTTTAAAATAGAGTACTGAGTTCATAACAATTACGGATGTTAGTTTTTTGATTATTAGATAGTATTCCTTGGGTTAATAATAGTTTTACTCTTGCTAGTGGTGGAGTATGTTTTAAGATTAGAACTGCTGAAAACTATGAAAAGGGTTTGGTTGTATTATAGGAGAGTGGATAATGGTGCAAGGATTGGTTTTCTACTTATGATTGGTCTTGCCTTTTAGCTAGATGCTTAGCTGGATTGTTTGAGAAACAAAATTGCTTTTGCTTATGAAATGAACCAGTGACAGAGTTTATTAGGGGACTGACACTTAAACTTACATTTTCCAATTATTGGAACAAACAAATTATTGACATGGATGTCATGGTTAGTGTGTATCTTATGCATACACTCAACTGCAGATGAATAAAGTATATGACACCTACATGGTCGCAGATTCTAACAATAGATACATGTATAATCAGTTAAAGAATTCTTAAATGTAACCTTTCATTTATAAAATTAAAAAATTAAGTGATTATTAGAGAACAATATCTCAGTGTGGAAAGGCTAATACTAATAATATTCCCTTAAATAATCTAAGATGGCACGTAGGGGAGTGAATGTTTCTACTGTGTTCATTTTTTAATTGCAGATACTTATAGTGAATATAATAAAACTGGGTTTAGAACCTATTTGAATCAAATGCGTTTATATTTTTAAAAATTGAGGATAGAAGAGAAAAACCTTTTAAAAGAGGAAAATATTAATGCCTACCTCCCAGGGTAGCTGTGACCAAAGAAGTTAAGAATAAGTTAGATGCATCTAATGAAAAAAGTTACTGGCAGCATTTAGCAATGAATTCAGGAATAACCCGGGGAAAAAGTTACTCTAAACCCTCTAGGACGTATAACTTGAACTGCGCACCAGAGCATAGCCACCCTCAGCTGGCTCCCTGGACCCTTCACCCGTACCTCAGTGACCCGGCGCTGGTCGCTCAGCCCCCTATTTCTCTCAGTGCAGTGATCCTCCTTAATTCCCAGTCCTTCCTCATCCCCACACTAAAGTCACCCCGCACATTTTGAGCCCATCCTATCCTGCTAATACCTTTTCTCTATAATTTTTTCAAATGAGTCATAGTCATTCATTGTCCTTACCCACTCAGGTGTCTGGGACAGCTGCGACTGGCTCCCAAAGGAAAGTGCCTCCAAGGAGATGTTTCAGAGATTTATTCTTGTCGCCTCTTAGCACTCACACCCAAATGGTCCACTTGCAACATCAGCCAGACCCAACAGAATAGGGGGTGGAAAAAGAGAAACACTGGCCCCTCAGCATGGATGGACCCTGAGAGTCCCAACACAATCGGCACTTCCCATGAGGACCCGGGGCAGAATGACAGGGCAGAGTGACAGCCGCAGGCCTTCCACGCTGGCTCCATGAGTCGTCTATGCTTAGCTCTGCCAGCGTGTCCTCTTTTCCAGTCATGCTTACCATTGCTAAATTTCACTGCCAGTACCTCCGCTGTCAGTCCATTCGTCCTTTAACTTCTGATAGACAGGTGTGAAGAGCATCTCCTGCCCAGGCCAGTGTGGTTCAGTTGGGTGGAGCATCATCCCAAACCAAAAGGTCATATGTTCGATTCCCGGACAGGGCACATCCCGAGGTTGCAGGTTCGCTCCCCAGTGAGGGCACGTATGGAAGGCAGCCGACCAGTGTTGCTCTCTCGCATCCGTGTTTCTCTCCCTCTCTCTAAAATCAATAAGCATGTCCTCAGGTGAGGATTTAAAAAAAAATAAAAAGACATCACCTAATATCCCCATTCCAAACTGTAGTTATTGGTACTGGAATATTCCAGGATCAGGCTTCCTCTGTGTCACAGGATTTCAAGGGAGCCTTGGGTTTCTTTCCTGACCAGGGTGTAAAGGCCACATCCGGGGTTGAGGGTTCTGAGTGCAAACACTGAGGGCTGCTGTAGGCAACTCCCACTCCAGCCATCGCTGACAGAGAGCCTAGTTACCACTTAAATTGTTTAATCTGCAATACCTAGAGTGAGGAATAAAAAACTAAGTCCCCAGACTGAAGAGACCTCCAGTTAGGGTTATATTAATACATCTCACTTTGTATCCTCGATTTCATTTCATGAATTCTTCTATTAAAATGGCCCATTTCATATACTTCTTTCAACAAAAAATAAGATATCTATATAAACATTTTCAGTAGGAAGCATATAAAAATTAGTTTTCAGTATCCCAGGGGCCTGTCTGATTGCAGTTTGAATGGAGCAATCCAGGTCTCTTTCCCTGTGGGTTATGTACAAATTCACTTTTACTAGAGTAATTGCCAATTTAAACTTCCATTATGTTCAAAATATAAATTTGTAACATATGTTTTTCTTCTGAGCATCTAATTCCAAATTTTAATAGAGAGGCCATTATCTCAGGGGTAAGTCTGGGTCCTTCCTCAACCCCCTGGGACCCCAGCGCACCATGGCCCCCCTCACAGCGCCCCCCAGCTCCCACAGCCGCCTCCCTGCCGCCGAGGGGAGAGGCCCCTCCCCAACGCCTCTACAGTCCTTCGAGTGTTGAAGGCACCAAGTGCAAATAGCACCCCTGTCCTTGGTCATCAGCACGTTACACTCCCCATCACCAAACGCCGCCATTCCTTTTTCTTAATGCTGTTCTGTTCTTTGTATTGGGAAACCATGTCCTTAAATCTGAAGCTTCCCGACCTGCGCATTTCCTCAAGTTACGGTATCTCCCCGTGACCTCCAAGCCTCCACCACCCTCTCCATGGATCTGCTGCGTCCCTCCTAGAGGGCTAAGGGCTGGCTGCTCTTTCTGGATTTAGCATCACCACAGTTAAGATCAGAAATTTTCTTCATCTACCTTTGAATTTTTTTCCATATAAATCCCATTCCTTTATATGCATCCCCAAAAGACCTCGGTCACTCTTCTCACAAAGTGACCTGGACAGGATTCCAGCAAATATTAAACCCAAGGACTCCATTTTCTCAAATGGCTTCTCTGCCATTGTGTATGTGGTTGTGTGTGTGTGCGCGCGTGCGCACGCGTGCACGCGCCTTTTCTGTGGACAGCCAGAAATTCTGAGCTCAATGAGATAAACGAGCTGTTGACATCTCCCAGCCCAGAGTAGCAAGGCCCCCTGGGAGGAAGAGATCGAGTTACTTTGGTAACTCCAGATACCAGATGATTTGGATCACATACATTAGCATGCTTAGAGTAGCTGAATTTAGGGGGAAGGCTTCATGCTCACTTCCTTCCCCAGGAAGCCTTGGGTATCTTTTAAGGTACATAACTTCCTGCCTGGGCCAAGTGACCTCCAGAGGACCCTTACCCAGATCCACAAACCACAGCCTGGGTCAGATTTTTTTGGTTCTCTCCAACTCCTCTGTGTAGCCTATGTATCTGCCATGCACTAGTTCATGTCCTCTCTCTCTCTCTCTCTCTCCTGTCTTTTTTTTTCCTGTCAAGAAATTTAAAGCAAACTTCAAAAAAATGAAGAAAAAGAATACATGTACACCAGATAAGATATTGGTTGCTTCCTCCTGTAGCATATTTTCTGTTAGCTAGAGGATGTGAATTAGGCTATAATTTATATAAAATTCAGCTTGCAAAGGAGTCTAAGAGTCTGATTCTTGAAGATAATTGAATGAACATCTGTGCAGTAAGAATTAGGGGAGGTTACTCGTAATCTGATTTACAAAAGGAATTGGTAGTCTCATTTTCCAAGAATGTTTGGCTGACAGCATTTGTAATGGTCAGTTAGAGTGTTCTAGAAGGAAAGGGCAAGGTGCTTTTCCCTCCACTCATGACAAGCCTAGCCCAGATCCAGCCTAGGCAGGGAAGTGCCTCTAGCCATTTGGAAAAATCTAATCTATAGTAATATGACTTTTTTTACTTAATGCTTTTCTGTATTGGCCAGTTAATAAGCTATGTTCGTATATGTAACAGAGTTGTGTATACCATACAAAGGTAAATTACAGTAATTTATATAATATGTATTTTACTTACAAATTTATTTTGATAAATCAATTTCAAATTTAAACCATTATATTTACTATTAAACTTATTTATGTTTTATGTGATGACTATGGAGCAAGTGACTTTTCCTGTATATGCACCTCCTGAGTTTTTACCTGTTCGGAAAAGAAATGAACATAAAAAGTCTTCCGACAGGAATACCCAGATTTTGTAAGAGAAGGACAGCCACATCACAGTTTAGTTTTTTCTGCCAGTAATTTTTTTACATACAACCGTGGGTTCAGAGCGGAAGCTCATCTGGGATTTTGCCTCTTCTCTCTGTCTTTCCGTAGTCAGACCACCCTGTACCACTGAAAAGCCAGTGAGTGAGTAGCAGTCCCTAATCCACTACGGGAAATGAGGCTTCTTCCCACCCCAGCCACCTGCAAAATAAATGAGTACCGAGTGTCTCCGAGTGTGTCATCAGAGGGGAATGTATTCTTTTGAAGAAAGGAAGAGAGCTTTTGTATGTAGGAGAACGTGGCACAGGGCCCTGTTGCTCGTTGATAACTTGTGTCTTTCCCTTCAGGTTCCTTTCAGCGCTACCATGTCCCCGGTCCGCTTGCATTCCTCCAACCCGAACCTTTGTGCAGACATTGAATTTCAGACGCCCCCTAGCCACCTCACGGACCCTCTGGAAAGTTCAACAGATTACACAAAACTTCAAGAAGAATTTTGTCTAATTGCACAGAAAGGTAACAACAAATCTAGTGTGCCCTTTCGAGAAGCACTCTTCTTTGATGAGAGGTTGCCGTTTCCTCTTTTATCCTCATCTCGGTGGTCATGGACAAAGATTAAGTGGTTCATGTGCTGGTTGGGGTTCTATATACAGAGTGCAGTAGGATATGATGCTTGTTTCCGGAGACAAGACAATCGTGGGTTTACAGTTTTGACTGAATAAAAAAAGTGTTATTGTGGAGAGTGGGGAAGAAAGAAGAAAAACAAAAAGAGTTATGCCAGGCAGGCCTGCAAACACTACTATTCACCTTTTTTTTTTCCAGTGTCTTTAGTTATCACTTAATACATAATTGTAGGGGGAAAAAAGAAATAGACTTTGAGTCTTTTTTTTTTTTTATTAAATAGCTCTCATCAGTTTTGCTTCAGTTTGTGGGTCAGGGATTCAGGCAGGGCTTTGCTAAGCGGCTTTGTGCCACGTGGCTCACTTGGCGCTCTTCCGCTGGAGGCCGGGCGGCAGGGACCACGGGCGGCAGGGACCACGGGGCTCCCCGCGTGAGAGCTCGGAGCCTGGCTCGGGCGGAGGGGAAGGCTGCGCGCAACTGGCCCCCTCCCCTCCTCAAGGCAGCGCAGGGCTCCGGGGAACGGAGTGGGCCGAATGGAAGCTGCCGGTCCTGCGCAAGGCCAGCTACTCCTCTTGGTCAGAGCTTCACGAACCAGTACAGATGTGAGGGGAGGAGAAATGGACCCCACCTTGGAGTCTCTTTTTCGAATGTTATAATTTATTAAGTCATGTTGCGTGAGTTCAATTCTCATCACCCGCAGTGAGTAGGATATAATAAATAAATAAGCAGGGTAGTAGAATGTAGGTGGATGGGGTCCTGTACGTGTTTACGGAGGAGAACCTCAGCTCTCAAATTACTCCTCCCCTTGCTGCTATGGTATTTAAATTTCAGCCACTGGAAAGATAAATAAATAAAAATAAATTTCAGCCACTGAATGTGCTTTTGACTGAAGTTAGTACCTTCAAAAACATTTTTTTTAAATGCATAATCTCTTGGAGAACGATATACATTATGTTGTTTTCCATCTCTATCACCTTCCTGTGAATTAATCACATTTCTTTCCCTGGGGCTGCTGGTAGGAGGTTATAAAATATTACTGAAAATGTGTGTTAAATGGCTCCGCCGCCCCCCGCCCCCAATACTCAAGAGTCTGGTGGCTCAGGGAAACAAGGGGAGCCTGCTGAGGTGCCTCTGGGAACGTGGAAGTCAACACACATTTATACTCTCAGCCATCAGCACAGATGTGCTGTCAGATCTTTAATTCCATAATCCTAAAACAATTAAGCTAAATCATACCCCACCCCCTTTTTTTATAGATTTCTCAGTGGAGATTCTGGATGGCCAACTCTCTTTCACAGGCTCTTTTACTCCTAGTACATTTTTATTACATTTCTTAGCTGGATGCTAATTATGTCATTAGAACAATGTTATTTTGTTTCTATAATGGCAGGGATTTACGACCGGTAAAGCCAGTAACTTTTACTCATTTGGGGGCAGGGGTGTAGGAGCAGGCGGAATGAGACAACAAATGTGTGATTTAAGTACAGTGTAGCTGCTAAAGGGAGATGGATATATTTGAAGGTAGCCCAGGAGAGCTTTGTGCATTTGGTTGTAATCCTGAGGCTTTCAGGAAATCCAAGTTTCAACAGAATTTTAAAGCCTCTGTTGAAACAACATATTTTCTTTTCAGCTATGCTAGAAAAAAGAGGACTTTTCTCTCACTGTTGTGTGTACTCTTTAGAAAGTATTATGGATTTTGAAATGACTGAGAGTCCACTTTTAGAGCTGCCAGTGGGATTAATGTATTCCAGTTCTCAAGTTATTACCTCTAAATTGATGACGGAGAGAATGTAGCACATAAATCAATAGATCAAGAGTCCCTTGTGATCTCACCACTTTACCAGTTTAATTCAGGCCGTTGTTTTATGCTGAAATTTTCCACTTCTTTTAAAAATAACCTTTCTCAAATAAGGAAATTTCTCTTTTAAAAAAACGTTGCATATAGCAGAAATTCTGTTATTGGACAGATAGGAGTTGGAAATTCAACTTTTGTAATTTAAAGTTAAAGGCTGCCTCAGATTATACTAATGTATGTTGTTAACATGTAGGAATTGGGAAGGGAACGCTTCGGACCTAAGACGTTCCTGGCTAAGAAAGCAACCCAAGTGCTGTTCTTCAGACCAAATCAGTTCCTAAATCAAAGAGAACTAGTGAGAACTTTCTAGATTAGCTGCCTCTTTTACCTTTGCAGGACTTATAAAATGCTCTTTTAGGGGGTGCAGGCTTTTAGGAAATAATTTTTAGATAGGTCTAAATGATTTACATGTGTCTTGATGGTACACCGAACTGCTCAGATGTTCTCATCAACCATAGCAGAGTAAACCTTATTCCCTTTTCCTTCTAGGAATTATGGATTAATTTATTAATATTGATAGTTAGAACTGAAGTGCCATTTCCAAGCCTTTGCTGGCTTGTCAGGTTTGAAATACTAAAACTTTCACCCGGATTAATTATCATTACCATGTTTGCTTTGTGTGTAGATATTATGATAGATTACAGATAACCACTCTAGAACACATACATGCGTGACTTCAAGTGCTAAAATGTTTCCAGTTTTGGACATTCTTTCTGGACCCATTTGACCTTGTTTCTCACTCTTGTCCCCATGCAGTCCATTCTCTTTTGAAGTCTGCGTTTAATAGCATAGCTATAGAGAAGGAGAAGCTTAAGCAGATGGTCTCTGAGCAGGATCACAGTAAAGGCCACAGCACGCAGATGGCACGGCTCCGACAGTCACTGTCTCAGGTAAACGAGAATGTATGTTTCTCGCTCATAACACGTTTCCAACCCTGGGTGGCACAAGGTGGGTGTGGAGGCAGTCAGTCATGGGGGTGGCAAAACTGTCTGTACGGTCTCCCAAGACACTGAGTGTCAGTATTAAATTTTATTACTTTTCTTCCATAAAATGTCAAGGTTAAGGGAAAAATCAACCAAACTTACTTGCAAATATATACTTACTTTGGCTGATTGAATGCTTTTAATGCCTCTACATGGTCAATTATAAGGCAGTCCCTGGTTTTAAAATGAAAGAACCATGCATTTACACATGGTTTACATTCTAAAATATAGTCAGGAAAATATTCAACCCAGTGTTAGAACAAAAATCTACCAAGTCTTCCATACTTAATGTTTTTCCCACTTAGAGTACATTTCAGTGTGTTGAAAATTACTGATTACTATTATCCTTATTTTTCTGATTTTCACTCAGGATTTTCTTCCTATTTAAGTTATGTTCCCTAAAGCTAGACTTCCATTTTTCAATATATAGTGTATATATAGTACATATTATTCAATATATACTCATTATGTGGTGTTCAATGTATATTTGTCATGAATATTAATAAAATCCCTATGCATATCAAAGTTGAAATTTCTGATAAAAATCCTTTAAAGCTATGCTCATGCTCTTCTACACTGAGTACTTGCTCTGAAATAAATATTTTCTTTAGTCTCTAAATGCACTTTAAAAAATCTCTTTGAGAATTCAATGTTGTGATGTGCTTTTGCGTGAGAACTCAGTGTTTATATAAAATATTGTTCACTTCCTGGTGCCTTGGATCAGAGTGAAGGAGCAAGCAAACCCTGGGTAAGTGGTTTTCATGCGGATCAGCTCCTGCTTGAACACGTCCCCTCAGTCCCAAGAGATTGGACTTCAACTGTCTCGCCATGTTTTATGTACCTGAACTGTCAGCTTCCTTTCAATGTGAAATTTCATGTTCTTGAGTGCTGTTACCTGGCCCACGCTTTGTGCATTCAGTTCAGGTGAAACACTGTCAGCTAAGGTGCCTATGCTGCTTCCCATGTGATACCAGGGACTCGGGAGCATGAGCCTTAAAAACAGCAACTGCTGGCCAGTCTGTGGAGGGTTTTATTCTTAAGCACGTTAATGGTTTTCCCTGGACTAGTCTCATGTCATGCATTTATTAATACAAATGCACGTCATGAGTCCACATTAATTGTCCTTCTGTATCATTATTCTGAAAGTATCATGAATCAGAAGATGAAAATAATGGTGAGATAAACAAGTAACTGTCATCTCATAAACATAAAACGCACTCTGGCCCCCCTACATGCTACAATGTGCCCTTCAGTTGTATTTATTGGTGGAGGCTTAGTACTATAAGATAAGCTTGTCCCAAGAGGGTGGGGGTTGTGTTTGTTTCTTGCTTGCATGCTTGCTTGCTTGCTTGCTTTTACTTGTTGGTTAAAACAGAGAATGTTAAATAGAGATCTGGGTTGGGGCATCAAGTGAGATTAGAAATGAGGCTGAAGAGAATATTAAAAGTTACTCATGTTTATTCCTTTAGTCACTGTATTTCATTCAACTGACTGTATGTGAGGTATGGTGCAAGGTGGGGAACAGCAGCACAGAAGTAACTCTGGCCACGTTTCCCGGAAGCTCATGATCTGATTCCTAAGATGCGCAGTGTTTATCAGGAAACAATTAAAAGGGCCATGCTGTGGGCCACTCAGGTGGGCACATGGGTGGAGCAGACTTCCAGGTCTCTGGTCACTCAGGGGAACGGAAGAGCTCTGAGCGATGAGCAGAGCCACAGGTCAGGAGGAGTTGAGCCTTGAATTACGCGTGAGGGGACAGCAGCGGCTCCTAAGGAAGGACCTGATGTGAACATGTCAAAAGCAAAATAAGGCAAAATTATACCAATTTTGCGTCCATTGGGTTAAATATTTCCTTCTCTTGTCAAAACATTTATTGACATCTAGACCTAGAGCCTCAGGGCCTAGATGTTGAGTGTTTGTTAATATTTATTTTTTTAGCCAAGAAGCCCAACTTCATTCTCAAAAGTTGTAAAAATAATGTGATACTATAAAGATGGTTAGTTATACCATATCGACTAGAAAATTCTGTGCTCCCAGTTGTGAATTAGCACAACATTTGGCTGTGTTCACACTCTCGTGTCTGTCTATACCTTCCCATTGGGCCAGTCTTGCCATCCCTGGCCGTCTGCTCCCATCACCTCTGAGGCTGGTCTCTCTTTTGCAACTCACTATGGCCTTTGATTGGGCATTTACGTTTCCTGTCAGTTCATTCTTTAAAGAATCGCTGCCTGTGGTTAGACCACTGGAGGACTATCTGGAGACTGGCAGTTAATTCACAATGGCTAAAACATGGGCTTAACAGGAAGAATCAGTCTAGAAGCAGCTAGTTATGTAGGTGGGAATCGGCTCACCAAAGACTACATGAAAGAGTTCAGATTTATCTTACCAGTGCTGTGGGCGGGGCGGGAGAAGGGCTTAATTATACGATGAGCGATAATTTCAGAAAATGGAAATATTACTACCTATCGTTGTACATTAGAAAGATTATTCTGGTACAGTATGGAGGATGGATGGAATTAAGGTGAAACTAAGATATTTGAGATAATGCAGACCTGAACTAAGAAAGTGACAGGGTTGGCGGAAGGAGGGGACCAGTTTCAAAGACACTGGGAAGAGGAGTTGGCATGGCTTGGAGATCAACTGAGTATTAGAAAGCGACAAGGAGACAGGCTCAAGACTACTTTTTAGGTTGCTTACTTGGATGACTGAGTCGATGGCCATTCTTTCCCCTAGAGAGGGACTACCAGAGGAACTGATTTGTCCAGGGTAGAGAATGAGCGGTTTTTGGGGAGAGCCAGTCTGACTGTGGAATATCGAACAGGCAATTAGGTATGTAGACCGTGGCTCAGAGGGAAAGATATGTATACCGCAGTATGTCGCTGAAGTTATGGGTATTGATAAATTGCTTCTTCAGTCAGAATAAAAGAGAGCCAATGGTGCTGCCACAGAGAACATTAATAGTTAGAGGACAGGTTGAGAAAAAGAGCATCCTTTGATGGAGACCCAGGGGAGGCTGCTGAAGAATCTAGATAGCAATGACCATTGAGATCAAGGGTAAAGAGTTTTGATAGTGTCAAGAAGGAAAAGAATAACAGAATCTGATTTAACAGCAAATAGTATATGGACTGAAAGCAAATAAGGAAACACTGAAGGTGGTAAAAACTGATAGAGCCATCAATTTGTTGGCCAACTCTATTTTTATTATCCCTCTTTTAATGTAGCACTTAGAATTGAATAAGATATTAAATAGCTTGAACACGTTGAGACAGTTTTCCTGAATGTTTTTATATCAATATAACTTGACATTATAGTGTGATTTTAGGTAGCCTAAAGATACCTTTGATCTATATTCAAGTGTCATCAAACCCACAGATATTTATTTTATGACCAGTTATCAAGTGAAATCTCTCCCCAGAGAGGGAAGGAGAGAGACCGTGCTTAAATAACTTCTTAAACTAACCTAACATTTTTAAAACATTTTTTATTTGACCTAAGTTCTATTTGATATATGTTTAATGATTAAAATGCTGCTTTTCAGTAAAGCTTTTAAGTATACCAACTTGGCAAATTCCATCATCCTCTTAAAGGCACATAGCATATAAAATACATGAAACATTAGCATTCTTCACTGCATGTTCAGTATAAATTGTTACCTGCCTTGGGCGTGTAACAAGTTACAAGGCTGAACAGTATAATGAATCCCTCTTCTTACATGATTACTTCTTCCCCGATCTAGATGTACACAAAGACATGCATAATTCTGTTATTTTACCTCCATGAAACTTTAAAAGTAACCTTCACACCTGAGAGGCAGTATAAATGCGAGATTCAAGTCGACAGGACAGAGCATTTCATATGACATCTACCTCTTTGTAAATGACTTTATTTCACAACAATTATAAGTTCGTGTTTCGTTGAGCATAAAACCCTGAACACCAAAATTAAATAGTATTAATAAGACTAAGGTAACCTCAGCCCTCCAGATTACTATAATAATAAAAAATTCAACTTAAGTCTGTCTTCAGTATATTACCCTTTGTCACCGTTACTGATTTCTGGCCCCAGAATTTGTGCACAGCCTGTGCTGACGTTGAGTGTTGGGTTCATACAAATGTGAGCAGCAGAATATGATCCTGTACACCAGCTAGAAATGCTGTATTTTACTAAGTCAGTATGCTATCAGTTGTTAGATGTACCATCATTTTGTGCATTACCAAGAAGGAATAAAAACGGTTTTCAATTAAAGTGACTCAGTGCTTCAAAGGTGTTAAATGTGGGGGGGAAATGTGCATTAGAATTAATGAAATGTGGTGTGGATGGGAATGTAAGCAACAATTCGGCTTAAGGCGCAGGGTAGCATAATTAAAATCCCAATCATAGTATCCACCATCCTTCTACCACAGCTTTCACATAACCCAAATAAATATTCAGTGTTAGGATAAAAGTTCCATACATAGTTCTTGTTGAATTCAACAGTCTCCTGAAACTTGGCCAAATTTGTTCTGTACAAAGATATTCTTCATAGAATCTTTTACATTTTTTTCAGCTATACAGTAAATTCAAATTAATATCATTTTGGACATAATTTGACAATATTTACTAAAGTCTTGAAGGGATTTTATTCTTTGATCCATGGCTGATATGTGTAGTATAAGGAAGTAATGCTGAATGTAGGAAACCATTATGCTCTTAAACGTTCATGGCAGCTTTATTTGTTCTAGTAAAATTCAGTAGCAGCCTAAGTGCCCAATACTAGGACATAATCACTTACTGAGCAACTCTTAAAATATTTGTGCCCTGACTCGGTTGTAGCATCGTCCTCCCATACCCCATAAGGTTGTGCATACAAGAAGCAACCAATCAGTGTTTCTCTCTCAAAAAAAAAAAATCAATGAACATATCCTCTGGTGAGGATTACAAAAAGAAAATCATATTTTTGAAGAGTCTGCAACATAAAACAAATGTTTATGTGCAAAGAATAAGTGGTAGACATAGCATGTGAAATATACACCCATAAAATAATGTGAAAAATGCAAAGAAAAAAAATTACCAAGCTATCAATGGGTTGATTGAGTAGTAAGGTATGAATTTTGAAAAATATTTTCCTACTTCCTGCATTTTCCAATTATACAAGAATAGTATATATTAATTTTAATTGAAATAACAAAAAAAAAAAAGACAATTTTAAAGAGATATCCAGGATTCGATTCTTGGTAGCTCTAACTTGGGCAGTTTCCATTTTGATTTTCTCACTCCTTTTGAACCAGTTTGGCTTTTACCCAAAGGGTTTAAGTCTCTGATGATTCCATCTTGCCCTGTGTTTTCTATCTTCCTCCAGCCCTTGAGCTCCCCTCCATGTTGCCTTGTCAGAACCCACAGTTCCATTCAGTAAAGTGGATGTGCCAAAGTCTCACCCAGTCTAAGGCACAGTCTCACCCCTTGTCTGCGTGGGCGGATGAATGGTAGTTCATAGCCAGAGAGATGGGGATTGGGGCAATTGATTCTGGCTCAGACCTTCAAGATGGTAACTTCTTTTACAGATTGAGAAGGAATTGTGTGTTTCTTGGGTATATTAGAATTGAATGTATATGAGGGACATGAGACACTGGGGAAATGGGCATACCATGTGGAGAGTCTTTAGTGCAGTCCTAGTTCACTAACAAAAGCAAGTAGTCAATGTAAGCATAGAACCTGCCTGTTGAAGAATCTAGGCAAAGTCCCTGAGCCTTTGGTCCTACGTGCCCCTGGTAGACCAATGTTATTGCTGACAAGTCGCCGTCGCTTTTCTTGCTCATTGGCTGTCACGGTGGCTGGTGATCCGCCTCCTTTTCCCTTGTTTCATCCCTGTTCAGGCTCCTTGGGTGCCTTCCATACATTGTTTCTGCCATTGCCTGGGCTCTTCCATGTTATTTATCACTAACGGCATCATTTCACTGAAAATACCTATATTCCTCAATGTTCCCCACACTTCCATGATATCATCATAGAGAAAATAGTTGAGCTCTAGGAAGGGAAATAATAAATATGGTCCTGAGCACTCCCTCAGAGCCTCACACCACAGAGCTCATTGGCTGTTACAAATTCAGAAACAGTCCATGTGATCAAGGCAAAAGGAGGAGCCGCCGGGGAAGGTGCGCAGAAATGGGCTGTTGCATGCTCGGTTTTTTGCTCACACTTTCCACCGTTGGGGTTGCCAGAGTTGGAAAAGCATTTATTGCCATGCATTTTTGTGCTGTGTAACAATTTTTTTTCTACCACTGCATATATATTATTAATAAAGTATTCCTTTTAAAATTTTAGCTCATTCCCTATGGATATTAATGGCTAGAGGTTACCTTGTGTGCCTTCGCGCGCACGCACACACACACCTGTACTCAGGATCGCATTCAATGAATATTGGCCAAGATGAGAGTATAAGTGAGAATTTAACTTTTTAAAAATAAATATCCAGGGAAAAAACAATTATACAACTTCCGTTACAAGTGGCAAACCTGTACTTAATACTCCCACCCTGAGGAAAGTCATTACTTAACCTTGCCCTTTAGTTTGTGTGGGGTTGTTTCAGTAAATGTTCCAGTGGCAACAGGGGGTGCAGTCAGTTTGGAGGGACCATTAGTTGAGGTTTGTACAAAACCCTGAGGTCAAGCCTGTGCTTCTGCAAACGAAACTATCAGACAGCCTACCACAAGGCCTCCAGCTTCCAAGACAGCAAAATGCACCTGGTTCCAATTATTTTAATAACTAAGACAACTTCCAATATATACTTTGGACAGAGAAGTAATGAAAGTACAAATAAAGAGATGTGTAATAGCCGCAAAGGATAGGAATAATGCATCATTTTTTTTCAAATTCCAAATGTTTGAGATTTTGCTCCAAGAAAAATGATCCTGAGCACTTTTGCAGAAGGTAAAGATACTAGAACTCTTCCTCTGAAGCATGTGGTTTATTTTTTAAAGCTGGACAGCTATTTCCTCCTATCTACAAATGCAATGACTATATCCGCCTTTAATCCATCAACACTTGACAGCCCACCAAGCCAAGTCTGTTACATTTCACACATACTTTACAAACTGGTTCTAAAGACTTTATATAAAGCCAAAGGCTGCAAGTGAGCAATTTTCTTCTCAAAAAGCAGAAGCTGGATATAAGGGAGAGAGGAGAGGCTATGCTATGCTCCATGCTCAAGGATTATGCACTGCACCGTGCAAGTGTGAAGTTGGCCACTGCCGTTTATCCTGGGTGTTTTAATTATGTGACACCATTTGTATGTGTATTGGGTTACTGTATTCACTGACTTGCATGAAGAAAAGCAGAATGCCCATTCCTTGGGGCAGATGTCCTGACGTTTATCATCTCCCACTCTCTAAAATATTCACTTCCATCTTCTGCTGATTTTAATGAAGAGCAAAGGGACTGTCCAGCTTTCCGCTGGGCCTTGTCCTTGAAACTTGATGTAACCCCAGTTAGCTACACCTCTTATGTACGTGGAGCATGTCCCCACACATCAGTTTGATGCAGGCACCTTTGTCCACAGGGCCCCTGTAGGGGGCCATGCTCCTGTCAGCTGCTTTCTATGCTGGGCACACGAAACTGCTCTAGCAGGTGGTGGTGTACTGGTGCTGAAAGAAGTGAGAGGCAGATAACTTGCAGTTAGTTTCCTGTCTGCTTTCTGTTCTGTGTTACACTTGCTGATGTCTACGTTGTACACTGAAGGCACCTTTTGGTCTGCACTTGAGTTAGTTCTCTGCACTATCGTGCATATTAATTATGTGCTCCTGGAAAATGAAAATACAACTATTGACTTTCACCAAACTGTAAAAAAAATTCTATGAAATATAAAGCCAGTTCATTGTTCATTCCACTTCTGAATAATTTATAAGATAATTATCTGGCTTTGAAACAGCTCCCAAACTTTATAAATTGGAACAAAAAAAAGATGGAAAGGACCAATAGTTTTTATCCCAGGGTGTAAAATGTAATATATATGTGGTGGTAAATGGGGCTTGGATGTAATGGGCCTGACCTAAAGGGGAGAAAACTCCTTGAATCCTTTTTATTAAATCCATGAACTCTTTCAACCCACTAATCTAAGTAGTAGTCTTATATGACAAAAAATGAATAACCTTAATTCTGAGCCATTTATCTCCTTTTTACTAGTAATATCTGGCTTATGATGATTCCAAAAGTTACAGCTAAGAACATCATAGTCTTTGTTGTCTAAAATCTACCTGTGTGCTTGTTCTGTTTTATGCTTGCTTATTAACTTGAAGTTACATGTGCAGTTTTCGTTATTTTAAGGCACTCAACCAGAATGCTGAACTAAGGAGTCGGTTAAGCAGAATACACTCAGAATCTATTATTTGTGATCAGGTTGTCAGCGTAAATATTATTCCTAGCCCTGATGAGGTAAGACTCATTTTTAATAGATGTAAACTACTTACTTTGTAGCATCTAAATCTACTGCATATTTTTGTTTATTTTTGTACAGTTCCTTCACCATTAGTAAGATATCCGGCATCAATATTTGCGTGGCCGACAGTTCAGTGTTCTTTGGAGTAAAGGATGGACATGAGCTTGATATCTTTTCTTCTTTGGTGATCAGGGTCTATTTTTATTCTATTCCTGTGTTCACCAGATGCCAGTGAATATTTAGTTTATGTATACTCCAGCTTGTGAATTTTCTCTGTCTCAGTCTGCCTTTGAAATGTTCATATTATGAACATTTAGCTGAGAAAATGCTAAATAAAAGTTTTGTTAAAGTTTACTTTAAAAGTCCAATCTAAGGAGTCATCTTACCTTTCTGAGATAAGTATAATGGCGCTGCTACAGCTACTACGGATGATGATAATAATTAATAGCTAACACGTGTCAAGTGAATGCTTATTACATGCTGGGGGTTGTGCTAACTCCTTTACATGTGGTTATCTCATTTGACGCTCCCAGCAACCCTCTGAGGTAGGTGCTATTGTTATTCCATTTTTCAGAAGAATTTTTGAAGAAATGGTAAGAGGATAGGAGAACATTCAGTATTTGGGCTAAAGTTAAGTGTATTAATTTGGTGTATGACCCTTTATAAAATTACTATTTCATCACCGTGAGAATTAACACTTTTCCAGAGTAATATTAGGGCTTTAAATAGAGTGATACATATAGCAAGGCGAGAGTTTTAACTCACGCGAGGGTGATATTTGCACCAAAAACATGTGTTACTAGAAATCCACAGGTGCAACAGTTCTACCACCTAACTGTTTAGAAACACCATCTGAGGCAGCCTCCCTGTGATTTGAGTTGCCCACCACATGTCCATGCCCCTGCCTGGGTCCCCTGGTCGCTCCCATCCAAGTACCACCCAGGCCCGACCCTGCTGAGCTTCCGAGATCAGGTGAGATTGGGCGTGTCCAGGGTGGCATGGCCATAGGCTGAGTCCCATGATCTCTGATGACAGTAATGCTCACTCAGCTGCTTGGACTCTGGAAATATTACTAAAACTTGGTCATTCAAATATTAGTTAACAATCTTGACCTGAATTTTTTTCAACCTGAAATGTGTACTAGAATATAGATATAGAATATATGTATTATAACTCTCTTACATATTTTTCTTATTAAAACTGAAATAGCCCCCTGAAGACCTATATTTTATCATTTACTGAACAAAAAATAGAGTTTGAAATAAGGTTGAATATTCTAGTCATATTCCATTTCCAAAACTCGTGGTCAAATTCAAAAATAACTTTTATATATTCTGGCTCAAAAATCAATCTTGTGGATTGCTTTCTGAGAATATCCAAAATCATTTCTACCGATACTTCTTATCGATACTTGAGATTTAATATACTAGTTAGAAAATAGCTAGTAATGACGAACCTAAGTATATGAGAATGAACTTGTGTCCACAGTCAGTTCAGGGTATTGATAGTGAGCCAGCTTATTAATTCCACTTAATATCAACTAAGCATAAATTTAAAATCATGTCATGGTATCAGCACCTTTCTTTTAACTATGCCTTTTAGATTCTTTAAATATATTGGAAGGAAATTTATGCAGTTGTCATTACTGAGTTGCAAGTGAATGTTGCTTGTGGTCACAACTCTTTTAACATATGGTGTGAAATTCTCTAGAAATCTGGCTAGCACATCATGGTTTAATTTGAACAAATAGCTATTCTTTGCACCAAAATCATTACACCATATGCTTCTCTCTTCTGTAGGCTGGTGAGCAAATCCATGTCAGTCTCCCTCTGTCACAGCAAGTCGCTAATGAGAGCCGCCTCTCCATGTCAGAGTCCGTCTCTGAGTTCTTTGATGCCCAAGAGGTGCTCCTCTCTGCAAGCTCATCAGAGAACGAGGTAAGCTTTGCTGGTGTGTCAACCCCAGCTGTTTCTGACTGTGAGTTTGGTTTAAAGGAAGTAAGACCATGGAACTTTTTTTAACATCATAGTCAGATAGCCAAAGTGTCACAAAGCCAAAAGCATGCAAACTATGTTGGTTCCCATTTACTTCTGAACGTCAACCAATGACTCTTACATTTAATGAATAATAGGAAGGAATCAAGCATTTATTCTGATTCTCCTGTATGATTCATATTTCAGGAAAACAAAATGGTTTGATGTGAGGGTATTTTATTGAAGGAGACTAGCTAATAAATGTAGGATTTATTAATGTAGAAATGGGAGAATTTGAAAATCATTACTCATGCTTGTATATTTGTGCATGCACACACATCAATGTGTGCATATTAGGTTGTGTGTGTGTGTGTGTGTGTGTGTGTGTGTATCTTTGCCAAAGACTTGAATTTGAACTTCAAAGGAGTAATGTCTAGCATATCTAGTTGGGTAATTACAGTTTTTGGAGGTTATCACTGGCTATCATAAAAGCTTTATTGGATTGCTTTTCATGCTCGTGAGTCTTGGCAAGGTCTTGGAAACAAGGAACCTCATATTTGGTCAGGTTGCATAAACATATTCATTTACTGCAATTCAATCAAGTAGGCTTTTTTTTTTAATGGGAGAAGCAGCCAAAACTCTTCCCACACAGTTGATTAGGAATTTTGTCATTCGAGATTGCAAATCTGTACTGCGTTTTGACAAAAAGGAAACAAAATAGTTGCTAAATGTTATTTTTATGTGCACAGAAAATAGGTTGGAAGGGAACATTCTGACGCTTGGTAGTAGCTGTTTTTGGATGTTTGGAATTATGAGTGATTTTAGAAACATAAGTGGAAGAGAGAAAGAAATAAAAAACACATATGTCACTTTCATAATAGAAGAAAGGCAAAATAGAATTCCTGTATCGGGCACTAAATTTGTTACCACCCCAAGCCATGCACCTGACTTACATCCCTAGTCATCTATCAACAGATTCACAGGCCCCCATTCACAAGGCAGAGTACTTGTTTAATTATTCATAATGATAATTGATGCTATCAGATAGACAAAATAATCATGCCTGATGATTAGTGTCTCTTTCCCTGTAGGCAAACCTGCATGGGAAGCCTAATTGTAATCAAGAGGTTGTTTGGTGAGCAAGGAAGGAACGGGAGCAGAAGTGAGTCAGCTTGAGGCCAGGAGGGTCAGGATATAGTAGCTTCAACCTTTCGTTTCCATTATCGGAATACCCTGCCACATGGATGGGGTATTTGTGCCTGTGAGCCGGTCTCTGCGCCCCAGGGACCACCATGCTGGAGATATGCTACCAGCATTTTCTTTTCTGAGCTCCCATTGCTGACCAGTCCTTCAGCCTTCTTCAATCAGGTTATAGTCAAACTTGACTCGCATTATCTGGGCCCTGACCTACCATGTGAGAACTATAGCATATCTCTTACGAAGCAACCTCATTTTCATTTCCAAGTTCTGGGGCACACCCACCTGGGAGTCCCACTGCCACTTGCACCAGACCCTGGCAGTGCAGAGATGAAGAGGAGCAGGTTATTGCGCAAGTCCAAGCATTCCGGTGGCGCCACCCCCAGGGAAAGAGTAAACCTAATGGCAGAGGGGACCGGGACGTAGAGGAGAGATGGGCATGGCCATGATACGTTCGTTTTGAGACATTGTGAGTTTATCAGATGTCTCGGTGGCATTACCTGGCCAGCACATGGATGTGCAAGTCTAAAGCTCGAGGAGAGGGCAGGTCGCAAGAGAGAGCAAGAGTCGGCCCAGGATCCGCATAACCAGATGGCTGAGAGACATTGCCACCTGGGTGCTCTCCAGAACATCTAATTCAGCATGTCGAAAAAGATGAATCAATAAACTCCTTACACACACACACACACACACACACACACACACACACACACACACACACAGCCCCACCAAGGAAAAACACAAATGTACCCATACTTCTCATACTGATTATCTAAATGCTCTTCTACCCAAGCCTTCACATCACATACCTGGGTATTTTCCTGCACTCCTCTGCCTACACTGCACTCATCAGGTTCTGTAACTTGCCACCTACAGGCTCTCAGAGCCATACAGACATCGTCCTACAGCTGCCCTGCTGCTACTCCAGTTCAACCCTCCCTCATCCCCCTACTTAGATTACCTGTCAATCCCCATAACGGGGTTTCCTGCCTCCCTTCTTGCCCTCTGTAATCTACTTTTCACGGGGCCGCATGATTAATCTTTCTAAAATGCAAATCTGATCCTGTTCTAGTCCCCAGTGTCCTTAGGATAACAACCTAAACTCCTTAGCTGCCATACAAAGTCCCATCTACACAGATCTCTGCTCTCAGCAGCAGCCTCCTGCAACCTCTGTTCTTCCAGAGCCCTCCAGAGGCCAAAGCAGTGGGTCCTGGAGTTGTTGATTCGCTATGTCCTCCAAACAACGCTGGAAAAAACTGAACCCCCACCTCTTCCCTGTGCCTGTATCTTACAGGTTTTTGTAGAATGACTTTTTACTTAAAATTTCTCCCTTTATCACAGCACTCAGTCTTAAGTATTTGAAGAGGCTAGACGAGGAGATAAACCCAAATGACAAGCACCAGGATGGTCTCAGAGTCATCCCTCCCTTGGGCTATGACTGTGACTGAGTCAGCCCCGCCTGCCGAGTCTCTCAGTTGCCTTGTGATGAGTTCCCCCTAGAAGCCTCCTCAAGTCCTCACACCCGCAGACTTGGCAAACCCCCCGGCCGGCTTCCCTCCATGTGGGACTCCTAGCAGCAGCTGCAGAGTAGGACCAAGCTGCGTGTTCTCATGAAGCTGCCAAAGGAGATCGGGCCTCTGCACGTACCTCCCACCCTGGCTAAACACATCTCTCAGAGAGCCACATGGTCAAATCCCTCACTAGCCTCAGTGCTCTACTCAGAAGTCACCTTCAGAGAAGCCCATCCAGCTGCCCTCACTAGTTTATGGCCACCTTTCTTCCTCTCATGACCTTCCATATCCCTCTTGCCTTACTTTGTTTCCTTAATGCTTATCACTGTCTAACAAAATGTATGTTTCAGATATTTCACTTGTTTGTTGTGTGTCTCCCCCACTAGAATATAAGTTTCATGAGGGAGGAGATTTCACCCCTGGGCCCCAGCCCTAGAACAGTGTGGTGAGCCCAGGGCAGGTAACTGAAGGAAGGAAGGAAGGAACGCCTGGAGCACCCTAACATATGGTTAATCTGAGAAGCATCTGACCATTAGCTGTCTTACACTGACATTTTCCGTAACCAAGAGAGAAATTTATATGCTCTCTGCCAGAGCACCTCATTTAATGAATGTTGGACTTGTTTTAAAAAAAGCTTTTCTTGATTCCAGAATGATCTCCTCCTTGCCTCTGCCTTGACTTATTTTTGCAATGCTACATGACTGGTTGCATTTAGGAAAAAAACATTTCCTGAACTCCTTTGAATCCGTAAGCCCTTAAAGAGAAATATTTGGCCCCAGAACCTTTTGACCGTGGGGAAGGAAATGAATATATGAATATATACTTACTGTTTTATTATAATACTGCAAAGCAGTAACTATATATATATATATATATATGGAATAACGTGAGTGGACTGGAGCTGCTGCTCACACATGTCATAACATGGATCTTACTTGGGACACATTGTCACTGTAGAATTCGTTTACATTCTACAAGGACCATTCTTCATGGATGTGGATATTAGACCATTTCTATCATCTATTACTTTGAGGAAGATTACAAATTGAAGAGGAATAGTTTCTTTGTAGCTTCTTGTAAAACAAACATGTTTTCTTAACGAACATTCAAACAGTAAACACATGTACAACATGAATTTGATTTTGGGCAGTCATTTGTCTCCTCTAACATAATTGTGTGTGATTAGCTTTTTTTCAGAGAAACCACATGGAAGAGTTTCACTTACTTTTTTCCTGTCAGGTGTAAGGAGGTGGTCTTCATGAGCCAGATGGTTGAAGCTTCGTCTCTGTTGCCATCAATGGAAACAGAGGTGAAGTGAGGTGCAATGAGAAAACACGAACCAGAAAAAGACTTCACTCTCAATTCGCTCCCTTTATAGCCTTGCTCAGGCTGCAGAAGCAGAACTGCCATGACTCATTTATGCGTATAGTTATTCTCTCCATCACTGTGTTCTTCCTGAGTGTATGAGCTTTGCCTGACTCTAATTTTTAAAATATCAGCAATAAATCCAGAAACCTTAGAGGCAAAAAGACTTGCTGTTTTTATTACATACAAATTTAAAATTTTTACATGGCAAAAATAAAATTGGCATAAATAATGTTAAAAAATAAATTGCCAACTAATAAAAACTACAACCCATATGACAAACAGAAAAATGTGTGAGCTATAAGAAAAAATTAACAAAAGATGAAATTCAAACTTAAAAAAGAGCTTTTATTTATGATAGGTGGATACTAAAAAGGTTGCTAATGTATACTGTTTTCCTGGGTGTGGAGAGATGGATGCTCTCATGTACTGCTGGTAGGAACGAATGAATACAGTCTTTCAGAAGGGCAATTTGACAACATAGGCTAAAGTCTAAAAGTGAGCCATTTTATCCAGTAATTTCACTTCCAGAAATAAATGTTAATGAAATCGCCAGGCGGATTTCACAGAAATGTATTTACAAGGATGTTCATCCAAGTATTGTCCGTAGTAATAAAAAGTTGGAAACAATTTAAATGCTGCTTAAATTTCTTGTGTCAAAACTATCTAATGAAATATGTTGTCATGCCAAATAAAGACACAGAGCTATATTTAATAGAATATATTTAAACCACTGTCAAATAATATGTAAGCTGATCCTTTTTTCATGTATCAATATATTTGTATTGGCATTTTGAAATTGGAGCTAACACCCACCAAATGTTAAAAGTGCTTTCTCTTAGGTGGTGGGATTATGGGTGATTTTCATATAATCTGTTTACTCTTGTGTAA